CAGTATATATATATATATATATATATATATATACAGGGAATTGCTTATGTTGAAACATTGGGCTCTACATGATAAAGAGCAGGACAGGAAATGGATCCTATTACTATTCATCAGCGATGATATATCGAGAAAACATCTCCCAGGGGTGACCATAAAAGAGGCTGTTCACCTACTGTATAATATCATTTCATCATGTCTCTGAAGTGTATATTAAGACAGAGTGGATTAATACATCAAAATCAAACATATCGACTGAAGTTAAACTATTTGGGAATCATCATTCACTTATAGTGTAATCAATTCGCCTTCACTTGGAGGTGAAGAGCTCCTCTGAAGGCCGGTTCATACAGGAATCAAACTTGTGCTGAGAGAAAAATGGAAATGTTCTCACTGATGTAGAGACTGTCGCCGCTACTTTGTATCCATCTGCATGTCAGTCACAGTGCTCAATGTTAATTCCAGACACTGAAACACAATCAGAGAGGCAGGGGAAATAAAACTTAACTAAAGGGAGATTGAAATGACAGCGCACTCCACTGATCCCTGGCTAAATTGGGGTCAGTAATAAATCAAGGATGGCAAGGAAAGAGCTGCTGTTAATGAGAACAGAGCGACAAAGAAACTGAGGGTGGAAAAGTCTTATGAACTCAATAAGTGTGTGGATTTGAGGATGTGATGTGTGACTTTCTGTATTAACTTCTTTTTGTATAATGCACACTATACTCTCATGACTATATCCGTATGTTTGAACTTGTGTGTGCCCTCCTGAGAATATGAGATTACACAATAATCTGCTTTGCTTTAATTACTCTGGACTGCTTTGTTGATAAAATGTTTGTTGTGTTTTAAACCGTTATGTGCTTGATTTGTGAATACTGCTACAAGTTGTAGCTACTACTAACTTCTACTAATATGGAGTGTTTTCTCTGTTAAAGTTCCCAGCTGTGTCCCACGCCTCTGTCACCGTCACTGTGGCCTCATGTCTGTCTTTGCTCTGCTAGAAGTTGCAGCCCGCCAACAGTGCTTTCCATTGTTGCACTCCCATTTTTAATACCCATTTCTCAACTCCCACACAAGCTAATTCAATTGTCAAGGAGCCACATTTTTTTCCCACAACAGTGCTGACTGCACTGTGGGCTGAGTTGTAAATTGTGGTTGCTCTCTCTCTCTCTCTCTCTCTCTCTCTCTCTCTCTCTCTCTCTCTCTCATGGACACCAGGTGGACAGTCTGTCTAATCACATGCTCGCATGCTAATTATGGTTGGTGCTTATCCAATTCTTCTTCTGCATGTAAAAGGGTTCAGAGATGGCAGCGCCTTTACTAATCTTGTGGGTCTATGCAAACAAGGTTCAAATGTGGATGTGCCAACCTCATGGTTTGCTATCAAGGCTCATAAAGACAGAAACACAAATCTGAAAATTCAACTGGAGAATGAAGTGTTTGAGTTATAGCCTCTGAAGTTTCAGTGTCATCTTATACATGCTGTCACTCTGTCATAACGTGTGAGGACGATTGAACAGAAAGAAGCATACATTAATGTCAAAAGTAACATCTGTGCTTTGCCTATTTAGAAACCTTTATTTTGTATATTAGCATTGCAACTGAAAGGCCTCATGTATTTGCACAACAACTCTTGAAAACAGTGGACATACATGCTATGCTACTGCCATCAGATAGCACTTACAAAAGCCAGATGATACAGATGAATAGTAGTGCTGAACAATATTGGAAAAACTGGCCTTGCAATATCTGTGGTATATAATACAATAAAAAAAAGCAGGAATTTTTTCCAAATAAATACTGTAAGGTCATGTAGGATAAAAACATGGGGAATTAACTTTTGAATCATACAATCATAATCCTCCTCCTGAATCCCAAAACATACAAGAAAACGATTTTTTATCATTAAATTGGCAGTAATTAATCTGAGGGTATGGCTGATAGCTAGCTTGAGCGTGGCTGTAATACTCAGGCCTCAGTTCAACACATAAAAAAGTATTACTCATTTCCATTGCATTAATGATCATATTTTGGTTAATTGTGCATCCCTAACAAAGTGAAACAGAGTGTAACATAGGGGGCAAGTGAAACATAAATACTGAACTGAAGGTTTTGGTTCCATTAGCTTGTTGAGATGTTATAAAAGGAAAGAAAACAGGCCGAGCTCTGTTATAGTCGAAGTCCGTCTACCATTAAAGATGTTAGGAACTGTCAGTGGATGGTGAAACTGAAATGATTGTTTAGTGTAATTTGTACTCAGAGATTTTGCTTTTTCTTTAAGCACAGCAATGTCATCTCACGGCTTGAAGTTTAAATGTTGTAAACCAATATTTCATTGACGAGTGGAGAGAGGATTAGGAGTAACTGTAGACTCGAACAAAGAGAAGACTTGGCACATCAGAATATGTCAGTATACCTGCAACATTTTATCAAACCTAAAATACAAGATCTTGTCTTCTCAGTGTTCAAGTGTTCTTTCATCTTGCTACATGTATTTCCTTGTTTTCCCTTCTCATTTTTTTTCTCCCTCATTGTGCGCACCTACACAGTAACCCACTGTTCCCCAGTTACCGCACTCTGACCCACAGCGAAGGCGTTAGACGAGAGGAAAAGAGCGGGGGAACGAGGTTGAGAAGATCTGCAAAAGTAGAAGAATTAAAGGGACCTTTGACAAGTCTGCTATTGTCTTGCACTCAGGCAGAGGAAGATAAAAAAGGCATTCATTCAATTCCTCTGTACAGTATGTGTAGGACAGAGTATACATACAGTATACATCTCTCCCCTTTGTACACCCCCCCCCCCCCCAATATACAACTTAACTGACTGTTTACGGTCATCAGAAGGCTCTGATTACTGGTTTGGATTTTAAACACCAGTGTCAGCCTGGTTGAAGGACGTTCTCACCCCTCTGCCAATAAAGACTGAGAGAATGACCAGTCATCTGTAATTAGCTTCATTTTGACCCTCTAATCCTCTGTTTACATCCCTTTCGTCGGTCTTGATTGCTTTTTCTCATTGTTCAGTTCCCACTCTTCTTGTCTGACTCTGTCTTTCTTGAACAATAAAGTTCCTCATCCACACATTCCTCTATGTACCAGAAGTGTTAAAAGAAGTATCCTAACACCTCCTGAATATCTCAACCTTTTTTTTTTAAATCATAAAATAGCTCCTCACTCAATCCGTGTCGCTGTTTCCAGCTTCCATCTTTTTTTTATAGCAGTCTTTCTGGTGCCAAGTAATGGTTCTCTCTTATTTCTCTTTAACCTCCAAGTTTCTTTAAAGGCCATGCTTGTTTGTTCAGAGGAACTTTACAAAGAACCATCTCTTCACTTTTTGACCTCTCAACCTTTTGCCATTTTGTTTAAGTGCTCCCACTAAGCTACAGCTCCTCTTCTCTCCTCTCTTTTCAGAAGGCTAATCAGCCCTTTGTGACCATAATATACCTGAACTATTTATAATCTTCTTGGCAAACATTACCTGAAGAGTATTTTATAATATCATCTCAGCCTTTCATGTTTTGCATTTGCAAACCAAAAGATTATCATCAGCTAGCTCTGAACGTTTTCCTGTCTCCTCTTCTCTCCTTCTCTCCGTCTGCGGTCTGCGGCAGATGGATGGTTCAAACAGTCACACAGACACAGACAGCAGAGAGAGGGCTCTGTCTGGAGAAACGCTTCTTGAAACGAATACCTGCTTTGCTCATCGTTACACTATGCGGCCTTTTTGAATTTCAAGCTTCAGAGAGATGTTGGCTTTAGAATGAGGCACAAATAGCACAGCTGATACATTTACCTTTATCGAGGAAATACATTCTTTAAGATTTCCAGAATATAGTTAGTCACAGCCCTGTCTATGTTTCTTCTAAAGTTGGGTTGTTTTAGGCCACTAGCCACCTGTTCATGTTAAACACCAGAGTCATTCATGCTTGTGTGGATTTATGACAAATATCTACAAGACCAGTTAGTATAAACTCCCTCTTAAGGTTGAATTTGTGTAAAGAGAGCAACATAGAAGGAAACCCAGTTGCATCAAAGGTCTTGGTTCTAGTCAAGGACATTGCGATTATACCATATTTTTAAGAGCATAGTTAGAAATAGAGACATTTTCACTTATGTCATATTGAAGATGTTACATTATCAAGTGCTTTTTTTGTGCCGTTTGGATTAATTAATAAAAAAGAACAATGCTTTCCTGCAGCATGTGAATAATCTTTGCCCACACAGTGTGTCATCTCTCCGCTCTGTTAGCTTTATCTTCATATTTAAATTTAAAACAATTCAAAGTATAAATCCGGCTTGTCCTACAGTCAGCATTCTTTTCACCACCTTTTTCTATCCAGACACAAATATCTGACCTTATCAGCATGTTCTTTAAGTGGATGTGTTCTTCTGAAGGAAATCACTGCCAGCAGGATGACAAGATAAGCAGTTATGTAATTATGATAAATGAAACAATAAAAGTGTGTGTGTGTGTGTGTGTGTGTCTGTGTGTGGGTGTGTGCGTGAGACAGCGCCTACAATATTGACCCATATCCAATATCTCACTATTAGTCCCAGGTGGGAGGTTTTTGCTGTAGATTTCCTTTTATAATCATATTTTAAATGCAGTGAGTGAGTCTGTTTTCATATGAATTGTTGCGAGAGTAAGTTAAGTGCACAAAGATGTTGTATGTCGTGATTTCAAAGGAAGATGCTGAAATGCTATTTTATATCGTGTGTTGTCCACGTGTGGAGAAAAAGATAAAAAGAGGAGATGCAGGATGTGTGTTACAACTTGACAGTTAACAGAGGTTCAGATTGTGTCTTTGTATTTGTTCCATTGCACTGTATGTACTGTACTGTACTTTTATGCATATACCGGTATTTTGTTTTTGGAGTGTTGGCTGCACATCAGCCGCCTTAAATTTTCCTGTTCATCCGTCCTCTGTCTTGTTTGTTTATCCCCGGTAGTGGTCAGTTTGAATGCATGTCACTCCATCTTCTCTCCTCTTTTTCTTTTAGTCGACCAGTTTGTGTGTCGCACCGAGGCCATTGCAGACATCGTTATCCTGGTGGATGGCTCCTGGAGTATTGGTCGCCTTAACTTCCGCCTGGTCCGCATGTTCTTGGAAAACCTGGTCAATGCCTTTGATGTTGGCATAGATAAGACGAGGATAGGTAGGTCACTGCTACTCGAACAGATGGCTAACTCCATGGGAACAGATACAGAGTTCTGATGTTTGAAAAATATTTTTTACAGTTGAATTAATCCGGCTACTTTGCTCATATCTGCCCAGCAGTTGAGGTGTTTGTGTTGTAATAATTTCAGGCTAAGTAGAAATGAATAATAAAAAAAGATCTTTGTTTTGTGTTTTAGGTCTGGCTCAGTACAGTGGGGATCCCAGGATAGAGTGGCATCTAAATGCTTTTTACACTAAAGACGCTGTTATTGATGCCGTCAAGAACCTGCCGTACAAGGGAGGAAACACCCTCACAGGTGATGGATGTTCCTGATATGACCTGTTGTTTTCAACTCACTGTTTATTGTTAACCTTTCTCTTTTTCTTCCTATTGGGTTTTTGAACCGTCATTCTCTGTGCTTTCCTAATGCTGTTCATGTTTACTACCTCCACATTTAACTCTACCTCTTGTTTTCTTAGGCTTCAATTTTTTTCCAATTAAGCTGCTGCCTCTCATTGTTCTTTTTTCATCCCTCTACTCCTTAAACTCCTTCTCCCCATTCTTTTTTGCTGTCTCTGTTTCTCAAGGCCTTGCATTGACTTATATCTTGGAGAACTGCTTTAAGCCTGAATCTGGTTCACGGGTCGGGATACCCAAGATCGGGATCCTCATCACAGACGGGAAGTCCCAGGATGACGTCATTCCACCTGCAGAGAGCCTCAGAAATGCTGGGGTTGAGCTGTTCGCAATTGGTGAGAACACATCAACACTCTCGTGCGGAACGTTCTTTTGATCATTTTTTCCCCACTCATCGAAACGCTGCTTAAATGCTAATAGTCGGTCATCTGCCCTTACCTTCTCAGGTGTGAAGAATGCAGATGAGAATGAGTTGCGCTCCATCGCCACAGAGCCCCACAACAGTCACGTCTACAATGTGGCTGACTTCAACATCATGAGCTCCATAGTGGAGGGACTGACCCAAACTGTGTGTGAACAAGTGGTGCAGCAAGACAAGGACATAAAGCAGAGTAAGGATAAAGTGTGACAGGGGAGAGAGAGAGTGGAAAGACTGCAGCTTTGTGGCAGCATACTTAATAAATCTGATAAGCATTTTTATACAAACATAGGCAAAGTACATTTTCAGTCAACTAAGTGTGATAACATCAGCTCTTCCTGATGTGCATTTAAATGGCTGAAAGATCAAAAGACATTAAAATAACAGTGCGGAATATGTGCATCAAACCCTGTATATTTAGATGAAGCTTGAGTAGCCAGAGATGGGTTATGGTTATATTTAATGCGGTTTAAGTTTGTCTTTTTGGTGTCATAGAACGCCAAATAGAAATGATAACCATTACTTATTATTCTCATTGCATGTTGGTTTTTCCACTTGAAAGTTTCTCACTGGGAGTGACTTCAAGTAATCTGATGGTAACTCTTCTCTGTTCCTTTTTGTCTGCTTTTGATTCTTCAGAGAAAATACCAGAGACAATTGGGCCACCGCTTGACCTGGTGACATCAGAGGTGGCGGAACGAAGCTTTCGGGTTTCATGGAGCCACGCCCCCGGGAACGTCGAGAAATACAGAGTGATTTATTACCCTTCTGCGGGAGGGCAACCAGACGAGGTACTATTTACTGTGGGGGGGGGTTTTGTGAAGAAAACCATTTAACTAATTGTAATGAAATAGTGTTTTACCTAATAAATTCAGGAAAATAATTAAAAGAATACAACACAAACAAATGCCCAACTTTAGAAAATAAAGACCTATACATGCAAGCAGTAAAAAACAAAAGTTCCCTGATATACAAAAGCCTCTAGCAACACAAAATATACTGAGGTTTTGAAGGGAGTTCAGTCCATGCTACTCTCTGTTTCTCCATCATTGTTACTACACCAATGGGAGTAACTTTATCTGGGGTTTTAAAGCAAGTATTTGCTCAGTTTTCTTCCCCTGAAATGCTTGTGGTGACATTCTTCTATTCCTCTCTGCGGCTCCCATCCCTCCATTCAGAATTCCCCGGAACGTCCATGCAGGTAATGAAGGCTCGCTTTGAAATGATACTCTGGCTGATCCGGGCACCTGCCTGTTTTTTTCCAGAACATTTGACCACAGAAACCTTTAAATCTTTTGCTCAGCTGGGTTTACAGGGACCAGATGGTCTGGAGCCGAATGGGAGGAGAACCTTCCAGCTGGCTCAGTCCAGACCTAATCTGTATCACAACTGTCAACCGAAAAAATATTATTTTGCTTTGGACATTGGTGCATTCTCCCAATCAATAAATCGACTCTTTCCCCTTTTCTACCATTCTCTTTCAATCTCCCTTTCCTGCATGGCTTTCCTCTCTCTTCCTCTCTTCTATTTTTCATTTTCATCTCCCCCATCTATTGCCCCAATTTCCATTTTCCCTGCCATTCTTTCTCCCCCAACTCCTCCCTCCATTTCCCCACCCGGTACTTGTTTTCTGTCCCTTCCATCTGTCTTTCCCAACTCTCTCTGTCTCCCTCTTTGCCTGACTTATGCTCTCACATTCCAGGAAGTGGTGGACGGCAATGACACTTCAGTGCTGTTACAGCATCTGAGCTCTCTCACTGAGTACCAGCTTGCCGTGTTTGCCGTGTACGCAAGCGAGGCGAGTGAAGCTCTGAGAGGATCAGAAACAACCTGTAAGTTTATTCTTATACACAAACACACATGCCAAACACACTCAGAATAAATGCTAATACTAGACAATGGTTGTAACTCTAACACTCAAATGTCTTAATTTAAAATAAATTTAGAGGACTTGTTTTTTTGTTTTTTTTAAATGATCCCTTCCTGACTGAACTGTCTTTATCTCTGTCGTTGTGTGGTCTTCTGTGTAGTGGCTCTTCCCACAGTGACAGGCCTCCAGCTGTTTGATGTGACTCACAGGACCATGAAAGCAAGATGGGACAGTGTGGACAGAGTCTCTGGCTACATGCTGCTGTATGCACCGCTTACAGTAGATGGGGGAGAAGTGGACGAGAAGGAGGTAGGGAAAGAAAGAGAATGAGAAGGTTTAGATTCTTTGAATAAATTCAGGTTAACAGAGTTTGTCATTTCCAAAATGTTTTAGATGCTCTTTTGTGGGTTTTTGTGCATCTTTGTCTGCAGGTTAAAGTATCAGATGCAGTGACAGAGCTGGAGCTGGATGGGTTGATCCCTCACACTGAATATACCGTCACTGTCTATGCAATGTACGGAGAGGAAGCTGGCGACCCTGTTACAAACCAGGAAACTACATGTGAGAAATGCACATTGATTCATACACATATATTCTCATTCTACACCTTTACCAGTACCTTAACCATCACCCTAAAACAGCCCTTTAGGAAAAGAAGGGAAAGGATCGGACAAAGTGTTTGTCCTTCAAAAGAAGTTCTCAAATTGAAAGATGTAAACTCATCAAGCTAAAAGCCAGACAACATCCAAACACAAACAACACTTTGCTCTCTCCGTCTCTTTCCTCTTAGTGCCACTGAGCCCACCCAGAAACCTTCAACTCTCTGACATCACTCACAACTCCGCCCACATCAGCTGGGACCCAGTGCCCACAGAAGTTAAAGGTTACCGTGTTGTGTGGATCAAGACAGACGGACTAGTTGAGAAGGAGGTACTGTGACACTGAGTTCAAGTTTTTTCATACCTCATTTTTTTATTATGTGTTTATGTATTATGACTTAACAGCATTTCTATCTGTGAGCATCTGTGTCTGGATGAGATGAGACCGAAAGGGTAAAAAGAGAAGGAAGGATAGAAGAGGAGATTAATTGGATTGTGGTTTTTCTGAAAAGGTCAAACTATAATGAGTATTGAGCAGATATATAAATTAGTTTGGAAAATGAACAGGTATTACATTTACACAGGCGTGATTGGTATGAGCTAGAAAGTGTGTGTGTGTGTGTGTGTCTGTGTGTGTGTGTGTTTTAGTGTCAATGCATTAGTTGGATAAACGCTTGAAAGAATGGCTGGTAAACTCACAGTGTCATACAGTAGACGCATATGTAAACAACACAAAGTACAATACATCTATTTATTGGACATTCAGATACATTTGAGTCCTCTGTAGTTGGCTGTGTTCAAACTATCTAATTTTTGTAACGATTTTGTCAAGTGACCATGTGTGTGTGTTTGCAGGTGGAGGTGTCCTCTGGCAACACTTTAGACCTGAATGGTTTATCGTCATTGACGGAGTACTCAGTCGCCGTATTTGCCTTATATGATGAGGGCCCGTCAGAGCCGCTCACAGATGGATTCACAACCAGTAAGAAACTGATTTTCATGACTGTAATGATACTACTGAAAAACAGTGCTTAATTAGTCAGTAAATCTTTTTTTGAATGAACAGATGTAGCTGACAAATGTTCCCTCTATTGGTAATAACTAAGTCCATTTGTTCCTTTATTTTTCAATTTGTCTTCCAAATTGGTAATAATCCATGTCCTTTTTTCAATCTCTGCTTAAGACATTTTGCCTCAATTTCTTGAAATTAGATGTATCCGTACTCTGGGGAGGCAAACCATTCCTCTCTTGGGGCCAAACAGTGTTGAATTTTATTACCTCCAGTGGTCCTTTTGGCTGTCTGCCCATCTCATTTACACCTCAGCATAATAGCAGAGTCACATTAAAAGGTCATTTCGCTGTCCCTTACTATTCTGTCATGCTAACAGATATTGATTTGTTGAAATATCCCTTTAAGCAACAATCAGTCGGGCTCCAGTGCTGAGTCAGCAGAAAGAAATGTATTTCTGGCCAGCAACTTTTAAACTTACTGACTTTAAAGGGCCAAGTTGATTTTTATTTGTCTACTGGCAAACTTTGTTCAATGGAGCAGCTTTAAAAGAGGAGGTTCATGAACACACACAAATGTGTCAGCACTTTTATGTTTCTGAGTGGATAAAAAGGAAATGAGGAGGGCCCGGGCTTTGTTACTGTACAAAAATGTTATTAAAAGTTAAATTAAATGTTCAACAAACAGAAACAAGAAACAGTTAAACCTGTTCCATAAATCAGCCCCCACATTAAGTGAAGCAGCAGTTTATATCTAGTTTAGTAAGCGTATCATGTTAGTAGTATATGTTGCATTTAAAGCTCCTGTGAGGAGTTTTCAGCTGATTATGAAATATTCAGAAAATAATATTGATGTGTCTTTATAACCCACAGAAGCAAACGAGACTATCAGCAGTCAGACTTTTATTATTTATTATTTTATTTAGTTGTTATTAATGGATGAAACCATTCCTGCCAACAACAACAACCTCTTTTCTTTCAGATTCTTGATGAGCAATTAAGAAACAATGATGAGTTTTATTGGTTGCACTATGTACACATAAGCAAGACAGAATTAGCAAAGTAATGAGAGGTACCAGGATGTCCACAGGGGGCGCCAAAATCAACACAAACCAAAGGTCCTCATGAGAGCTTTAACTCTCACGTTTTTAACAACACACGTCTTGATGCTTCCTACACTTTGTGCAACCTAGATACTGGTTGTCACATTTTGGGAATATACGTATTGATAACAATCAAAAATAATCTTTGTTCTTGCTTTATAACAATCAGGAAATGTTTCTAAAACCGAAACAGAAAATATTTCTTGCACAGTTCCATGAAAGTTTCATGACTGCATATATATTGTCAGCTGAGCTCCCATTGGATAGTTCTCCTTTATTTAATATCACAAAACTAAAAGGAAATTCATCAGGTTAATTAAAAATGTTCAGAATGGAATTGACCGCTAGACTAAAGGGAATATTTATATGTAACAAAATGCACACAAATAAAAACCTCTTCTCTGCCGTTCAGCTCCTGTTCCTGGTCCTTTGAACCTGCGCTCCAGTGAGATCAGCACAGTAAGCTTCCAGGTCAGCTGGGATCACTCAGCTAGTGACATCGTCCTTTACAGACTCTCCTGGGCACCAATCACAGGCAGTGACACAAAGGAGGTCAGTAAATATGCAACACATACATGTTTTTGTTTCAAAAAGATTTTTCTAAAAGATGTTTTTTTTACTCTTAAAAGTTAAATCAGGCAGTAAAGACCATCCACATAAATCTTGTTGGCAAAGCTATGAGTTAGGTACAATTGTGTCTTCTCTTCCTTAAACTGGAAATTACAACACCAATTTATAATTCAGCATCAAAAGATAGAAAACCAACATGGTTTCTGAAATTTTCATTTAGCCAGGGGTCCATTTTATCTCTGTTTCCAGAGAGAGAAGTGGCTGCACTCCATGTGCCCAGATAACAGGGATCCTGTACTCTATAGACCTGCACATAAGCTCAACTCCACTACTGGTCGCTGGTAAAACCCCTGGCTCAACAGAGTATAAATAAAGGCTGAATAAATCTAGAAATTAATGGCTTGGGTGTTTTATTACCATGATCTGGGGTTTAGAGGCAGCTGGGCAGCAGCGATAGAGCCCATAGGTTTGTAAAAAAAAGTGTGTCTGTGTGTATGTGTGTGTGTTTACTGAAAGCCATCAGAGCTGAAAATAACACTCTTGGGAGTTGGAGAGGTGGGCTGGTAATTCCACCAGCATGAAGAAAGGGATATATGCAGCTTTTGTCTGTCTCTCACCCACATACTCAACACATGTCCAACCAAACATTCACAGACACACACACACACACACACACACACACACCATCCTCCACTGTCTGCTCTACATTACACATCCAAGAGGAGATTAAACATAACACAATCAAACAGCCACACAGGCACAGACACACAATCAGGGCAAAGGATTACTCAGATTAAAACTTTACAATTATCAATGAGATCCTTTTTGTGCGTCATGATGTTTTATTTGGATTCACTTGTTTTCCTGTCTTCTTTATACCTTTTTGGAGCAGGTGGGGGGTCTTTATCCATCAATAGAATGTCTGATTGGCTTCACCTTTTAACCAGGCAACATGCCGCAGAGGAAAATGCTATAAAATAAGGAGATATGTATCACTAAATGAAGGAAAATTTAATCCGAAGAGAGAATGAATCACTAAAGATGCACTTGCTCCTGTGAAAGCACAAACGGCCGCCCCCACTGGTGGAATTTGCATGCAACTGTGCCCCAGAGGGCTCTGAATGAAGCCAATTCCTGCACATAACACAGTTATTGAGCCATCCACAGTAAATTCCAACTTCACTGTTGCTCTCTGTGGACGCAAGCTGTACTTTTGATGACCTCTTTGTATGTACTTTGGTCCGATCCATTTCTGTGTTGTACAAATTACGGTGGACATTTGGAGACCTGCAGCAGAAGTTGATCCAACTGTCTGTGTTGTTTGATTTAGGCAGCTCATTTCTGAATACCTCATTTATGATGATCTTACAATGGTCTTATTTAAACCCTTTTCTGTTTAAAATTGCATAGCACATTTAAATGCTGCACACTCTGATTATATTCATTTCTATGATTCATGATTTATTTTACACAGTGTTAAAAAACCGAATCCCCACAAGTTTGTTTTCATAGACTGCAGCTTTTTGAATTATGCACCGCCGTTTCCTGCTGTTTTTATGACTGAAATTACGAGCACTGAGGTGATTTGTTTTTTTTTTGTTTTTTTCAACAGCTCTGTCTACTAAAGCTCAGTGATGGCCTTGATCCTAAATGTCTGCTGTTTCACTTACACTATAAATAATCGTGTCAGACTGTTGGTTAACGCTCAAAGTCTCTTCACATGTTAAGGGTTTCTCAAGAATCTATTTTTTGTTTTTATTGCAAATAAAGTTAACAACAAATTCATGTAGAAAACAGAAGAGAGTGGGATTAGCTGTTGCTTTTAATTTGTGATTTAAAATGGGAGGCACTTCTTAACTTTAGCAGTTTTTGAACCTTTTCTTTCCAGTATGAACGTTTATCAAACAGAAAAAAATTCCCTCAAAATGTTGTTCAGTTTAAATTGTTTTTAATTGCACTTGATAAAGCAGCACATATTTGGCCATTTGAAAATACAGATAGAAATGGTAACATTCTTTAGGAATTTGATTATTTGGACATGTGTAGAAAGTCACTTGTAACATGATTTGTTTCTTGTGTAGGTGATCTTGAGTGGAAGTGATAACAGATACATCCTGAGAGACCTGAGTCCCTTCACTGAGTATGAAGTTATGTTGACGGCAGTATTCAACGATGAATCTGAGAGTGACACCGCCTCTGTAATAGAGACCACATGTAAGTGACACGTCAGTGATTGGCAGCATGTGTAGCTGTGTTGGCACTTACCTGGGCATTGGTTGTGATTTTGCTTATCTAGTCAACACACAACTTTGCCAGAGATACGATTAAGGAAGGCAAGGAATATAATGCATTAAGGTCTAAGATGTATGCCAGTGTCTGCAGAGAATACCAATCAATCATTATTTGTAAAGCGCCAATTCATTATAAGTGTTGTCTCGAGATGCTTTACAAAAGAGCAACTGGGATAATATGAAGGAAGTTTTTCTCCTCTTTATTCCCCTCGTTGAATACCAGACGAGTCCAATAACAGAATCCTCTTATGACCGTAACATCCACACCTATGAGACCAAAGAAATGCCTTGCATGAGCTCCTCTGCAGTGTTCTGATTATCATAGCTTATCTCAGATGAACAAATTCTATTTTTCAATCAATAATTTGTGTCTGTCTAATTAGCTTAGTTACTGAAACAGGGATTTGTTGATGAGTGTCATATTAATGTTGTCTGCCTTTCCCCAGTGGCCGAGACAACAACTATTGCTACCACAACCACAGGTAAGAAGTGTCCACAGCATGAATCCCTAAATACTTTACATGTTGATAGTTTAATATAGGTCAGTGTTGCTATAAACGTGAAGCATGATTGTTTAAGACAAAAACACAAGTGAAAAAGACTGGACATATCAGTTTGGATTAGATTATTTTTGGGCTTTTTGTGCCTTTAATGGAGAGATAGGACAGTGGATAGAGATCACATCACAGATCACATTTAATCTTCAGAGGGTTTCTGTTTGTCCATTGGGAAGCAGGAGTTCAAGCCATGCTTAGTACTTGATACTGGAATTACTCTCCAGTTGTGTAGACAGGCCAAGTTTTAATCATGACTCAAGCTAAAGCATCACTCCAGAGAGGCCAATAGAACTGAAATGTGAGTGAGTGCAACCAAAGTTCCAGATAGAGCGCCGAGACCAGTTTTTGTCTTTGTCGCTCATTTAGTTTCAAGAAGCAAAACAGGAATTACTGAGTGCTTAGAAATGTTCCACCCTGACTGAGCTGACGACAGCTGATGAATGCGAAACTGAAACACTGATTAAATTCTAAAGCAGAGTTCACTTTATTAAAAACTTCTCGAAGATCTCTTGTGAGAATAAAGGTGGCATTAACTCGAGACTGTTGTTCAAACATTATCATCTCAGACGCCACGCGGTGGTCATCTTGTGTTTTTGTGTGAGAGACAAGCTGATCAAATAAAATCAGTTTCCCTACTCACAGCTCTGAAAGCTTAAAAAGCAACATAACTCCTGTACTTAAGGCTCTTAAACCAGCACATCTGCTCTGTTTAAAACTTTAAAGAGCTCCTGTGGATAACACAAGAGTGGTTAACTAAAAGAAAGCAAGCTGCTTTTGTTTCTTAAAAAAATCGAGGCTGGTGGTTTAAAGCTGCATTATGTATTGTTCCCACATTCAGACTTATATCAACTCTGGGCTGCTTGGACTTTACTTTGTTTGCAGCTAATATCAAGCCTGATGAAACAAGAAACAAACAAAAAAATTGCTTTGTTTCATAATCCAAATAGTATGCCTTGGAGTTTTAAAAAAAGCCGTATGGAGGCCAGAGTTTCCTGCAATTTTATTTTTATCCGCCAGCACATCTCAGCTGTCAGAGCACGTCGGTGCCTTGACAGACACTGTTATGATTTTCTTTCAGCATGCTGCCATGTTGACTGACAATTTTCTAATCCTCAGTTTACCGAAACAAGTTTCAAAGATAAAAAAATGAATTTAGCTTAAGTCAAGATTTAGTGTTAATTTTTGTTACCTAAATCCTGCAGTAGACTTAGTTGTTGTCTGTGTTGTGGTGTGACAGTGGCACGTCATGCTGTGAGAAACCTTCGGCTGAGTGGTGAGACCACTCAGAGCTTGGAGGCATCATGGGACCATGAAGACCCCCAAGTGAGGATATACAGGGTGTCCTTTGTTGGCCTCAGCGGTGATGAAAAAGAGACGTCTGTGAGTATTTTGCTGTTTCTTTAAAGGCATATTTCACAAATGTTCAAGTACATATTTCGCTTAAAGGGATACTTCACTCATTTGCATTAAGTTTTATATCATTAGAAACCTGGTAGTATTTTTGAATGGATCGTGCATCCCGCCCTCATTTTCCCCGGAGATGGGAACTCTTTGTATTTCTAAGTCTGAAAAGGAGCTTCCAGTGACGCAAAATGACAATTTTTGCATCACAGACCAATCACAGATCAGTGGGTGGGAATTCACTCCCAGAATCGAAACTTAACGTCCGCCATATTGCTTGGAAGCTATGCTAACAGGCTCTATGGAGAAAGTTGATAATGGGGAAAAAATATAACTATAGCAGCGAGAAGGCTGCTGCTGACAGGCCGGTCTTGTGTTTTGGCTGCTGCGGCCGCCGGGCGCTGGCCGCCGGGCATTTGGTGTCTTTCATCCACATGAGCCGAAAAGACACTTTCTGCCTTTTCACGGCCAAGAAGGCACCGACTTCAAAATGTATTTCACATTTCTACTACATATATGACCCAATGTCAGTACAGAATACAGAAGTTTCAATGGGTGAAGTATCCCTTTAAGATTACATACTTTCTTTTTTATGTTTCACACCTTCTACAATTCTGCCACACCTCAGGCTTTGTAGCTCTAAAACAAACTCACGTAAAAACACACAAACACACAAACTTCTCGACTGTGGAGTTGGGATCATTGATTACGTTGAATGTTTGTAGGAAGGTCCTTGTTATTTCACATCTCCAGCCAACTGGATGGCACTGCAGCGGTCAGTGTCGGGTCATCTGCTTCTATCAAAAAACTGATTACACTTTCAGTACCGGTCCACTCGCTCTCTCCTTCCTGATTCCTCTATCTGTGGTAAGAGCCCTTGAGCTCGGTGCCATGTGCTGACCCTGATCGCTAATACACGCACACACACACACACAAAAATACATGTGCCCGGCCTCTCTACTCCTCTCCGTCTGTCCCTCTTTCTTTTTTTTCTGTTTTCCTTCCCTCTAGCCATCCCTCTCGCCACCTCCCCTCTGCCTCTCTCTCCCTCCCTCCTGTTTTAATTTCCCAATGTGGTGTCAGAGCCGTAGAAGATGGAGAGGCCAGGCCAAGCCAGAAGACATTCCATTATCTTTTCAGCAGCCATTTACCTCACTGGGAGCAGAGATGGAGGGCAGCGGAGGGAAAAAAAAGCAAAAGAAACAAAGAGTGGAGGAAAGAGAAACAATAGCAAAACTAAATGGGAGAACAGTTTAAACTGCCGGCTGATAGATAAGGGTTGTTCCAGGTCACAAAGTTTGGTTGTGTTTTGATGTTGATGGATATGAGATATAGACAGCATGGCTACATCTGTATGTTTCATTAGTAGTTGTGTGTTTATTCATTTAGAAATATATGAATCAGTGTGTTCTCCTTGGACTTGAAGGAGTTTCAGCACCGCAGTCAGAGTGGACAGCTCCTCTTGTCTCATTTGCTCTGACAGATTTACCTGGCGTTCGCTTAGCACACACACACACACACACACACACACACACAGACACACACACACACACACACACACACACACACACAGACAGACACACACAGACAGACACACACACACACACACACACGCGCACACACACACAGACACACAGTCAGGCTGACATTTGGCTGAGGAGTGGTGTTCTGAGCACAACAATGAAAATGTAATCTCTGCTGTTGTTTATGTTGGAGACTTGTTTTGGAAGCAGACACTTAGTTAAGAACAGGCAGATGAACATTTGAATCCCTACCAATATATATTCTTTTTTTTTCACAAATGAAGATAGATAGATAGATAGATAGATACTTTATTGATCCTGAGGGAAATTCAAAGCATCCAGTAGCAGGTTACAAAGACATACATGACATGAAACATTTCTTACAAATTAAACCACAAAACCGACGCCCCCCTCCCCATACATATATATTAACCCGATAAAAGATTTAAAGAATCAAACTTAAACTGTGCAATTAAAAATAGACTTATAGAAGTTCATAACATAAAAATAAAGATCTTTAAAAGTTAACTTGATCTTTTTTGGAAAGCTCATGTTATCGAGTAAAAGAGTCACTCAAATGTCTTTGCCAAGCAAGTGAGTTACAATTGAAAATAATAGTTATGTATAACAATCAGTGAAAGTCACCCTTAAAGCTTGTTCTGTAGATTTGAAACATATATCAAAGTCCTCCTCAGGAGATTGGTGTCAGAGTTACAGAACTATAGATGTTGGAACTTGAACTTTTCAGAAGTAGATATTTGACCTTTTAAGACAACATGGACAGTAAATGCCCTCAGCATTATCATTATCTTTTACAGAGCTGTGACAACAAAAGAAAACAGTGAAGCTGGAGTGGAGATGTTTTGTCAACTGCTGTTTCGATCTTTCATCTGTGTGAAGTATTCTCCATTAGTCATTCGTATTATTGAATGGCTATCAGGTTTAACAAGTTTAACATATACAGTAGATCACCTTATTTTATACACAGGTTCTTCTGTGTACAAATTCATTTATTCAGAAGTTAAAGCTCAATGCAGAAAAGAACAAACTTCTATACTGCTAAATCAAACCATAGCAGTAATAGGTTTTTCTCAGCTCTTCCTCCCTCTCTGTTGGCCTCAACCGACTTTATTGACTAAACTGAAAGTGAGCAGAATTCTTGAGCAGTTGTGGTTCACATCCCTTCAGGTATTTGTTGTGCAAACACTTTCTGTTTCACCAAATTAAGCCTGGCCTTAATCTTTGCCTCTTAATGTCACTAAAACCATGACTAAAACCCCCAAAAAGAAAGCGACAATTTTATGTGCATGTAACCTGCTATATGGTTTGTGCATTCCAGAGGGTGTGTGTGTTTGTCTGTGTGTTTGTCTGTGTGTGTGTATGATTGTATTCAACCTTTACTCGCAAAGGAAAGGGGCATACAAATGCATGTTTTATTTACACTTATAAATACTGTATATGTGTTCAGATTTCATCAATTATTTTTACTCTCTGTATTTTTTTTTAAATGTGCTTTTTTGTTTATCTCTCTCTTGCTTTGTGTGTGTGTGTGTGTGTGCGTGTGTGTGTGTGTGTTTTCAGATGAATATTCCTGGAGGTCAGAGGACAGCATTGCTTCAGTCTTTACTTTCAGACACACAGTACAAGGTCACGGTCACACCGGTGTATTATGACGGACAAGACGGCGTCAGTGTCTCTGCCCTTGGATCCACAAGTAAGCATTAGAACACCCACACACACACACACACACAAACACACACACATACACGTATACACACACACACATACACGCATGCTATTAAATTATTTACCACTGGGGTCAACTCAATTTTCCTTTTACAAAGATGCAGCTCCCACTTTGGGAGAGCACATTTGACAAATCTGTAAGCTAATGAAAGTGAATTGTATTGCAGCAGGCAGAGCTTTCATTTGCATTGCATTAATTTCATGTTCCTTTTTGTTCCTGGAGGAAATTGCAAATTAGAGCGGTGGCAATATGGATGCGTTCTTAATTGTCTTAATAAAGACTGTTCAAAATGAGATCAGCGCATTTCATTAATGAGACGATTGAATTATTTTGTTGGGATTTAATTGAATTTCTCAGCCATTTTCATGATTACCTCTTATGAGCAGCAGGGACTCGTTCTCCAGAGAATCATAATGTCAGACAATATGTGTAATCTTCTTAGATAAGGGGGCTATAGCTCGCCATATTGCAAATAAAAAAACCTCTTCTCAGCTTCGAAAGCAGCACAGTGATAACTCAAGGCATGATATACAATAGGACATGATTTTCCATTTTACCAGGGGTTTATTGGAAATTATAGCCATGTGATAACTCAAATTCAGCCAATCCTGGCAAAGGTTAGAAAAAAAACTTAATGAAATGCTACTATCATTTATGTAACACTGTAATTTATATCATCGAGGGATATTATCAAACTGTTTATCAACAACTTTATACAGAGTGCCATGCCTAGTGTGTTTATTGTTGTGAACAAGCTGTGTAGCAGAACTTCAAATGTTTTTTGTACAAGCTTCAAATATGTCTGTAGTACAGAAAGAAAACAAAAAACAGAAACTTATCTGTCATCAAAGATCCCACTCATCCTCCTGTTAACGCGTATCTGCACCTATTTCTATTTCTATTTCTTCTTACAGCCGACAGCCGACAGTCTACCAAAGACTAAAACTGGATCTCAACACAGGCTTATTTGAAGTGATGTTCAGGGACGCCCCTTCTGTTTTCTGATTTTGTGTATTTTTTTTCACAGTGCCCCTCTTGTCACCTGGAAACCTTCGTGTGTCAGAGAATGGTACAACCGCTTCAGAGTCACCTGGGATCCAGCTCTGTCTGCTACAGCGGGTTACAGGATTGTCTACCAGCCCGTCTATGGTACGTACACGTACAAATAACCGACACATGGGCATGCACTGATGCTTATCCTAACATTATTTGTCTAAACAAGCAGTAATCCAAATAAAGTCTCTTCAGGATGACTTACATTTTCCTCAATCTTTTTTTTTTTCTTGGTTTTAATAATGGTTAATGGTTTAAAAAAAAAAAGAAGAAACACAAAAACCAGACAGACAGGCATTTCTTTTCTTGTGTGTGTTCCCTCCCACACACACCTTCATTACACACTCACACACGCTTAAGCCCGATTAGACTGCTGGTTGTCATCGTAGGAGTTTTAGTGTGTACTTTTTCGTCCGGGTGGGACAGAGTCTCGTCCAAACATACTAATCCGCTTTTAATGGGAGGACCCACTAGACACAAACCTGGGATGAGGGCATTGTGATTAAAAACAAAGCGGCTCTCTAGATGTTAATTAAAGCTTCTTACGAAAAGCTTGAGGTTTTAAGGGAAAAGCCAGTGATCGAGAGCTAAAAACAAGACATTACCCTTTCTTCATTTATTTAGAGTCTTGAAGCACCATCAAAAGCCCATTTTCACTGTTCTGTTTTCTTCTGTGGTGCTAATTGTTTCGTGCTTCCAATAAGAGGCTCTTTATAGTTTCCATGTCTGTTTTAACTCATTTAAACAGAATTACCACGTCTCTGTGGATAGAGCCTCAGGCAGACGGCCTCCATTCCTCTGATTTTAAGAATTAAGATGAAGAGAAATACATTCGGTCAGGATGCTGTTTTCTGTGTGAGAACCTCGATAGAGAACATGCATGGAAGATTAGTGCCTGTGTGTGCAAATGCCTTCACACAGACACACACACACACACACACACACACACACACACACACACACACACACACACACACACACACACACACACACACACACACACACACACACACACACACACACAGTTCTCTTTATTTAAACCCACTTCTTGAACAAAAATACAGAAACATTCACAAAAGAAATACAGTCTGTTTCTGATTAAACTGTGGTCCAATGGGCGGCATGTTGTAAAGATAGTCCTACTCCTCCTTTATTTGTCTTTATTGTATTCTTCTCCTTGTGATGGAATTGTTTTGTTTTTTTCACCTTCTCTCTGTACATTTTATGTTAGCGGGGTACTTATTATTTTATGAAGCAATTTGTAGACATATTTTCCGGAAAAAGACGCCTTCATTTAGTTTGTGATTTTTCAATTTTTGTTGCACTTTAATGGAGCTGTGTGAGCTTGTGTTTATGTGTATATGTTTGTCTGAACTCATGGACATCTTTGTTTGAACAGCTAGCTCTTGTTTACAGCAGGAGTGGAAAAGCTGCCACATGGATGTGTATGAGTGCACATGTTGCAGGTCTGTGTACATGTATATTAGCAGAGTGTCAAGCAGCTCACAGTGATAATGTTGACAGATTCATCACTCAAAGTTGTCTGTCACTTTTTTAACAATGTCTCCCTGAGACCGAGACAGAAGTAGATAGCAGCTTGTATATATTGAAGGTTTGAGTCTGTCATGTAGCAGTTGTTGCTATTCTTTCTTGTTATTTTCTTGGAGAGTGTGATTGGTTGCAGACATACAGTCACTCCCTATTTAAGATGCCAATGTGTTTGTTGAAGAAAGACTTTGTGGCAGGGACTGTTCCACTTTCCCCCTTTTCTACGGCCCTATCTCTATTAACAAAGGTGCACAGTGTTTTTTCCCCTCTCAGACAAAAGCAGCTCGGTGACAGTTGATTATGCTGACAACTCACTTTCAGATTTGATCACTTGAGCTAGCCAGCTTAGAAAGCCAGTGCTTTAAAGTAAGCTCCATGAGTTGGCTAAAATTATTTTTACATCTGTTTAAAGTGTCCAGAATAAGAAGTATATAGGGTCTTCTTCAAGGCATTGTGTGGTTGAAAATATGTTTTCATTGTTGGATGTCTAAACTGTACATGCATGTTTAGGCAAATACTCTGAACCTTCAGCTCTTATGATGAAGAACCCAAAAAAGTGTACATTTTTCAATGCAAAGTTAAGTCTCTGTGTTATTGGTTTACTAAGGAAAGTATATGATCATAATCTGAAGAAAGTCAGCTAAAATATTTGAATTTGAGTGAACATGCATTCTTTTTACAATCTTACAACCACTGGGTCTGGTTTGTTGCCTCTTTTATATTGCCTGTTAAACGCCCCTGTGATGTCTCGCCCTTCAATGTAAATGTCACAGAGGTGGTGTCGGTGTCAAACTGCAGAGACCTCAGAATGGAACACAACATGTACAAGTCTGAGTGTGTGTGTGTATGTGAATCTCCTGCTATGAGATATTTGTGAAATCGCACTGAGACACGAATATGACACTGTTGTGGATTCAATAAAAAAGTACAAAGGCGTAATGAAGGCACAGCTTCATTACGGTGTTGTTGCAGAATCACAACGTATAGGGCTTCACGTCATGTCACATTCTCTTCCGCCTTGGCTAATGGTTACATCTGTGTGCCTTTCTCAGTGCCAGGACCAGTTCTGGAGACAACAGTAGCTGAGAATGTGAACTCCATTCAGCTCCCGAATCTTCTGAGTGGGACGGAGTACAGTGTCCAAGTGACCGCTTCCTACCCCACGGGACAAAGCGAACCACTGCTAGTGAACGCCAAGACATGTAAGTATCTTCATCATACCTGCAAAGTCCAGTAAAACCTTTTTGTGATCGTTGGTATTTCATGAAAACTGAGAAAATCTTCCTTTGAATGCAAGTCGGTCTAACTGTTAGTTTGCTGTGCTGTAAAAGTGAAGCTTATGAACATACAGAATTCTGATTGATCTTTCCTTCATGATAATAAAAAATAATAATTATTACAAATAAGACCTAATGGGGAATTCAGCGTCAGCTTAAGGTATCAGTCTAAATTCATCACAAAGGACAGTGTGACTGTAAAGAGGACAGAAAAAGGCAGCAGCAGAGAAAAAAAAACTAATTTGATTTAAATACGAGAGTTGCAATATGCATGTTTTCCAGCTGTCCGCTGACTCCACACTTATGTTTACTGATACTTTAGCAAACAGACAGATAAACTGAAGAGTAAGCAAGGACGTGAAAACTATTTCTTTGTGTGTAGGGATTTAATATCAGTAGATGCAGCACGACCTAATGCAGACTTTAACATCCCTCTAATCTAAAGCAAAGAAACCGACGACTAGAAAGTGAGGAGGAAAGAAAGAGAGGTGTATGCAGTAAAGATTTACATTCAGTTTGCGCTTTACCTCTCAGAATATTGCTCTGTCACTATCTTTTGTCAGAAATTTCTGTTGTCCTTTTTGATTTATTTCATTCCCCCATTTGTTTGGCTTTTTTTTTTTTAAAACTGCTGTTTCATTGCGTACTTAAAAATCTACTGTTGTCTTTTGGGATTACTCTGTGATTGGACAGAAGGGAGTCACTGAAAGGCAGAGAATCAAAGGGGATGGAAACAAACATTACTCTAATGTTAATGGATCGTGATTTTTCTCATTTGAAGATACAGCAATAAGAGAATTTTGCCTTCAAATTGTCGGAAAGGCAGAGAATCAAAGGGGATGGAAACAAACATTACTCTAATGTTAATGGATCGTGATTTTTCTCATTTGAAGATACAGCAATAAGAGAATTTTGCCTTCAAATTGTCGGAAAAGATATTTGCATTAACCTATATTAGAATGTATAGACTAAATGTTGAGTGATTCATTGATATTTATACATAAAAAACATCAAAGTGGATTCCTGTTTTTACACGGATTAATGATCAGTTTGTGATGCAGTGATGTGCTTTCATCTGTTCTTGAATCATCCCTCTGCTGGATGAATGACAAATCCCTCACGCCTTCTTGTCTCTATAAAGCTCTTATAATGAAAGATGCTTTCACAAGAAAAGAGAGATGAATTATGAGGCATTAGCAAGTAGATTTATCAGCCTGTTTGTATTTAAACACATCACTCTGTCCCTGGTGTGGCACTTGAAGTTCATGCCTCTATGTCCATCTCATCAAAAGTTTGTCTTTGGTTTTTGTTAGTCCCATTTTAGCACATACTCTACATAAATAAAGTCTTTGTGTCAGATAGTTTCCTCCCACACTTGCCAGCCATATATTTGCTCATTATAAGTCACAATTTATGTATGTGTGTTTGTTTGCGTGGAGATTTATAAATGACTCATCACTAAATATTCAGCACATATTCCCCATCAGACCCAGGCCAATCCCACTGCACGGATAAATTTCAAATGTATCAGGTTGTCGGCTAATACACAGAGTATGTCTGAACTCATTGTCCATATAGGCACTCTAAAGTGGAGGAACTCTGATTTATTAACGGGATGTGTTCAGTCATTTGTCATTCTAATAAGGGAGATACAGCAACATATTTCCCAGGATGCACAGCTTTACCATGGGAGCCACCTGGCATGTGTACACCAATAAATTAGGTGTACTAACATATAGCTTAAGAAAAAATTATTGGTACCTTGAGGACCATCGAGTGAAATGAAGCTGTTTCCTCCAAATGAAGTTTTATGTAGTTTGTATTGAGGTGCTGGAAGAACAGCTGCAAGGCAAGAATGAGTATTTCCCCAAAGCCCTGAAGGAAGCTCAATCAATGTGGTCCCAAGAAATTCTATTGATTTAACGCAATGTTGTAAAATTGGAATAATGTGTTTTTATTTCAAAAAAAAGGGAGGGACGTTTGATCGTGAGAGGGTTACCTGGGGGAGATGTATAAGAAGAAATTATTTAGAGATAACTTTCGGTGCCTGTCAAACCTCGAGTCGTGCCTCTAGTCTCTCTCTCAGTCATCTTGACCGACTTCAGCTTCTCCATATTGTCAACCATTGAGTCAGTAGTGAACTTAAAATCAAAAACATGTAAATATCCGTAACTTATTCATTTTGTGATATATCCTTGACAGCCCCGCTCTCTCATTCTTTAAATAGGTTTGTCCTTGTGCTTTTCTTCTCCTTATTTTTTTACACATGGCTTTGCATGCTTCCATTTATACCTAATCGATCACCCCGCCTCACCAAAATGCATCTGATGTGTTATTCAACTTGTACTGATTTCTTTAGATGACAGTTTAGATGTCCCTCAAACTGGGAAACAAAGTCAAAAATTTGTGTTTAGAGTAAAACAACAATATGGCCCAATACAAACACTGTTGACCAGTATAAGTCACCAGTACATATTGTGCAGCAAATGATAGTGTTAACATTATGCCAGTTTAGATAGCCGACCTTTACACTCCCAGCAATTGAGCTGAAATGCATATCTTCATATTGTTCATGACCCTGTCCATGCTCTGCCAGCCACGCAACGTTTCTATCTGTATGCAAACAACCACCTACACATATACATGAGTACCTCTGTTCACATTCATGTGTTGACTTGTGGGTCTGTGCATGCTACTGTGCTTTTTGTATGCGTGTGTGTGAGAGAGTGAATATATATATCTTTGCATATTAAAAAGTGGAAGGATGAGTTGTTGTATCCATTATTCACTAGTATTTAAAACAAGGCACCTGCCATATGGTCCCAGAATAAAATATCTATTTCCCGGTGAAAGAGCCAAGTTTATTTTATACCATCAGCACATTCTGTTAACAAGGGAGAGAGAGAGAGAGATAGAGAGAGAGAGAGAGAGAGAGAGAGAGAGAAGGGGAGTGAAGACAAACGAAGAGAGACTGGCTCCTGGGAGGTCTGCTTGCCCATAAGTTTACTGAAATCTCACTACCAAACAAGCTTCACATATTTAAATTGCTCATTGCTGTTTTGCATTTTGCTGCATCATACCTCATTGTTTCTCCACAACAAAGACAATAAAAACAAACAAGCCTGACTAAATCCACAACTTTATGACTTGTTTTAACATTTACCGAACCCTATGGCTTTGTTTCCTCTGAGCACTTTGCATGTGTGGTACACTGCTTACTTTGTAGCTGTAAGAAGCGTAGCTAGACTGCTAAATGCTGACACTTTATTGACTTCAACTTTGTTGCTCTGCTTCATGTTTTTATTCGGTTTAAATTACTGTATAATATTCCAGAAGTGGCTGTTGATTTGTGTGTTAGTGCTTCCGATAAATATTAAGAAGTGTAGCTTCTAGTTTTGTTTGTGTGTGATTGCTTATCAAATATCAATTCCTTCATTAAAGTGAACTACAAGATAAATGCTAATTCACTCTGTCTTACTGTGGAATTCCAGTGTTTCTTGGCATCTCCGGCCTGTCAACCTACCAAATACGCCCCGACAGCATGTGTGCCCAATGGCAGCCTCTTCTACATGCCACATCATACAGAGTCTCCATACAGTCTACACTCAGTAAGTACATGTACTGCTTCACAGTATTAAGTGTCATGAGATTGTCTGTGTGTCTGTCCTTATCTGTCACTCACAAAAGGTTTATGTCATGATTAAGTGACTCCATTAGTTCTGTTCTTTGACACCAGACAGGCGACTCACTCTAAGCAGGGTCTTGATTGACTTCATTTTTCTGATATGAATTAGGGGCAACTTTATTGCTTTGCTGAAATGTGGTTTGAATCGCACCTCTTAACTGCAGCTTTACAAAACTAAATATCTCCAGATTTGCGTCTGGTGATGTTTAGTTTTCTGAAACAAGCAGGAGCTCCGGAGCTGATACACAAACCCAGTCGACAGCTGTTCTCACCAACATTTCAGTGAGCACCTTTAAACATCTCAACATGTTTCACGAGAAACATGATTCCTTCCAGATAAGTGACTGGAATACAATCCAGTCACATAAATCAGAAGTTTTACTCAAGTGATGATATTTGGTGAGGTGGCTGTTTTGAACTCCAAAGTCTGCACATGTGTCCTTAAAGATTTACAGCCTGTCCTCATGAAAGAGTCTCCACTGTTTATTATCAAGATAGAGACGAGTCAGCTCGGGACTCTTCTCAGTTTGTCACATGTGTGCTGCTTACATATACCTTTCCAGTCTTCTGGATTAGCATTGATATGAGCCTTGGAGGAAATAAATAGTATGCTGTCCTTTTCACACGGCACTGGTGTACACTGTATAAAGAGGATATTCATAAATCTCTCTGTTAGCAAAAAGGAGAGGAGATATAATATGCATACAATCATTCTACAGTGAATCTTATTTGAGACTTGATCGTCTCAATGTGTGACAAAAAAAAAGTATGACCTCTAAAAGCTTTTAAAAAAGGTTAAAAAGAAGAAAATAGTTGAATGAAATCTTTATATCTACAAGAAATAAATAAATAAAGAGAGGAAGATATTTTTATACCTAACTTATGATATATATTTACACTTTAATTTTCCATTGAATCAAATGTCTGATATAATAAATAATAAATAGAACATCTAAAGAAAGAACAATTAAATGTGTGACAACATTTTTCATGTTTTCTTTTTGTAGATATAAAGATTTTTTCTTTCCCATGGTTCTTTGTAGTATGCAGCTACCTACATCAAATGTCATTTTTCTTCTTGTTTGTCTTTAACAATTCAAGGTTTTCAGTTTACATATGAACTTGTTGACTTTGGATATCTGCTCATTCTTTTCACTCTTCATATGTCTACTAGAAAACCTATTTTTTGAAATATCAGCGTATGTTCAAACGTCAGGGAGAAAGCAGAACACATGCAGCGGTGATGGCTTTTCAAAAATAACTTTGCGATGATAATGTCAGAAAGATGTCTGGGTATATACACGGCATTACAAAATGTAAGCCCTCTCCTTTCACCTGATAATCAAATTGTCCAACATATATACCTTCGAAAACAAATGTCCTATTCACATTTATTTCAGTGGAACTTTTGTGTTGCCAAAGAAGATGTGACTAAGAACCTTAATTATGTTACTGCTCCACCAGGCTGCATTCAAACTAACTAATGTCAGGCTGTCCTCTGTTAGAAAGACCCTTACCTTAAGTAAGAAAAAAAAAATGCTCAACGGTTCCAGTGAATTGTTTGAGGTTAGTGCAAAGAAAAAAAGTGTTGGCTGGTTAACTTAGTGATAAGATAAAATAATAAAACTACTACTTGATAGAAAACCTGCACAGAATTTTTGTTTCCCAGTACTGCACTTTTTATTTTAGAAAAAAAAAAGAAAAAGAGAAGGTACTGAAATTCTCTCTTCCATATTCCTCCCCTCACATTAGTTTAATTTATTTCAATCTCTTCCTCCCTCCTGTCTGAGCTGCGACTGGGTATTCCTGCTCGAGTTTAGAGATTTGGTTTAATCCACACAGAGCCAACCAGCTGCTTAAACACCTTCTCAAATGGATGAGTGCAGCCTCTCACTGACAGCTGTTTCCCTAAACTTTATTATCTATGGCTGTTTCCTGTGTGGAGGACAAGCTAATTTGTCACTCTCAAAGATTACAGACACATTAGGAAATAGAATAAGACTAATGGAATTGACAAATGGCAGCTATTAGTGCATGTGTATTTGCACTTCGCACTTTTCCCTTTTTGGCTGCCAACAAAGATTGTCATTAATTTTTTTTGGCAATGCTGTCAGTCTGAAGCTTTCTGAAGGGAAAACAAAACTGTGCATGTTTTTATTTTGTAATGAGATATATTTATACCATGATTCTTGTGATATAATGATGTTTTCCATCAGTCATTTTAACTGAAATGTCAGACTAAGTTCTGTATTACTGCAGTAAATGAGGGAATATACACTTCAAGTAGTTTGTCACCTGCTCTATATGTTTTGTTTATGTCATGTAAATGCAAAATGTAAGAGATCAAGTTTGAATATTCACTGTGGATTTTCAACTTTTTTTTGTTTTTGTTAGATAACAATCATCATCACTGAATGCACAATCAAGTTTTCAAGATGACCTCAAAATGTCTGTTCAGCTGATTAAATGATTTAATGAGCAGCACATTAACTTTTCATTTAGCCTTAAGCTGAGCTTTTTTACTGTCTGTCTTCTCCAATTAAACTGACTTTAAGTATCTGACTCTGAAAGAAAGCAATCATATCATACTCAGCAACTCCAAGGCTAAACTAGGATGCAAAACATGGCTGACAAAGAGGATAACTTCTGTTTTAGAGGAGATGGAGTTTAATGGATTCCTTTTACACTTTTAAACTTCATCATTGTAAGCCATAGTTGTGTTTTGATGTTTCTGTGCAGATGGTCAGAAGCAAGAGCTGAGGCTAGGAGGTGGTGCTTCCCGGCAGTGCTTCTTCGACCTCACGCCCAGCAGCCAATACCAGATCAGCGTTCACACCCAGCTACAGGAAATGGAGGGACCTCCTGTGTCAGTCACAGACATGACGTGTATGTTACAAATTTTTTTCTAATTAAAAATTGTTTTTGCAATTTTGTTTTCCAGCATTCTCCCAAGATATCTTTATTTTCCATCCTTGCTTTTAAGATAGTTGAGTCTCACTGAAAAGAGGATTGGTGAGGCAAATGCTCAACCTCCAGCTTAAAAAACTGGGGTTGCTCTCTCTCTCTCTCTCTCTCTCTCTCTCTCTCTCTCTCTCTCTCTCTCTCTCTCTGTTTTCTCTCACTGAGATGAAAGAGGCTGCAGTTGCAGTTCTTTGGTCAGCTGTGGAGCTGAGGAGTATTGCACAGCTCCAGGGACAAGCAGGCTCAGCTTCAAACCAGGGTTAAGGAAATGTGGATAGTTATGGTCTTGGACAGACAAAGAAACAAGCACATTTCCTGAGTGACAAAAAAGATGTTGGGTGGACAGCTGTGCAACACATGCATAGACAACTGAAACAAGCATCAACAAACTCATGCAAAATCTTCTCTCTTTAAAAGTTCTTAATTTTTTTTCTTCAGTTTTTTATAATTATAATTTATAATTATGTCTGAATCGACATAAGAACTTATTCCACATGTAGTTGATTGGATGAGTGCTAAGTGAAACTACTACTGAATATACTGTCAGGCCATTTATGCTAAATTAGTCCATTTTATTTATATAATCATCACATTTTCATGATTATGTGCCATAGTAATTTTTGCTAGTATAGTAGTTGTACATTATTTTTATTTACACTCCAAAAGTTTTTTTGAAGTAAGTACTAAGATGTAAAGAGTGAGAGTACCTCCTAATTGTACATCAGAGAAGCAGTTTACTGTGATCAGTGTGTTTCTTACTGTTCAGAAGCCTTGTGAAGAAAGTCAACAATTCCAGGAAACAACAGACACTATAAAGTAATACAGAACTTAAATTTGATGGGAGACAAACAGACATCATCCAATAGGACTCCTCAGAAACTTTACAGTGTTTTTGTTTAGCGGTGGCAGTCACCTTATCGTGCCTCCAAACTGTGATTCTCAAACAGCAAGTCCTCTTCTGAAGGCCGATGTTTCAGAGATGTTTTTCTTCCTGTACTCTGGTCTGACAGAACACACTTCTTTCTGCAAAGTAATTGGCTTGGCACTGAGACGTACCTTAACCTGGGGCTGTTTTGACTCTGAAAAAACAACTCCTGGTCAGACATACATAAGATAGATGAAAATAGAACTCCTGCTGTCCCCATCCTATGGAAAGAAGAAAAGGGGTTATACATGGGCAAAACGTGAGAAGATGAAGTCTGATTTCTGTAACTCACAGGAGGAGAGAAAGATAAACTGAAGTAAACACAACAGCTGGATTTCTATTGCACACGTAGGTTGTACGTCAAGATTGTACTAGAAGTACTTTCTCCATAAAGATCCACAACTCAGCTGCTGAAGGAAGGAAGAGGATTAGAAAACTTTCAAGTTAATAGAAAAAGGCTTCTGCTGTCCCTTGGTGTGTGTGTGTGTGTGTGTGTGTGTGTGTGTGTGCGCGTGTGCGTGTGTGCATGCGTGCGTGCGTGTGTGTGTGTGTGTGGTCGGCAGATAAGCCAGATGATGGCACCACTTGTCACTGCCATCATGATCGATGACCTTGTCCTATTTCCCTCTGTGTGTGTGTCCGTGTGTATCTGTCCAGTGCCAGAGCCCACTCAAGCTCCGACTGAGCCCCCCACCACAGAGCCGCCTCCCACCCTCCCGCCTGCTAAAGAAGGTGAGCAAAAAACCTGACACGAACAAGCACACACAGACGTAATTTTCACAGTGCTTGAATTACTTTTTATAGTGTGTGCAGTGACCTGACAACATAGTTTATAAGTTATTATAAATGTTTATTTTATATGCAGTCAAACCGTTTCTTTCTTTATTAAATGTGTCACAAACTGAAATCATTGAGTGTTTTATGAGGTGATAATAACACCTTCAATCCACATGTCCAATTCACATCTGAGTGTTATGTTTGGCAGCAGTTTTTGTTTTCATAACATATTAATGATCATACAATGTGATGATGCTGGAGTAGCGTGGCATTTTGAAGCAGGACTTGGAAAGTAATGTTACGGCCTTCTTTTAGTGGATTTGCTTTGTTCATATCACCCTTCTCCTTGCACAACTGTGAAGGGATTTGACATTTGCATTGTTACACGATGTGAACAATACAATGCTACTGCTTCAGATATGCCAAAAAAAATGTATTCAGTTCATTAGCTCGAGCTCAGCAGAGCTAAGCTGGTCGCTCCCACCCAGCTCAGTTTGTGTCTCAAATACACCCAACACCAGAGCACTTAATGCAACTACTCACAAGCACAGCACACTGGCTAACTCCAATATGTGCTCATTCCAATGTTTTTTAGCATTAAACTTTAAAGTCATCTGAACAGTCGTGGTGTTCTTGGTATTACTCTGAGCTTACAGTATGTGTGCATGTTGGCTTGTCCAAGCATTTTAACAGTAACACGCTGTTCAATTCTACACAGAAACAACTTTCTTAACAAGTGTGAAAATATTATATAGAGTACAATTCTAAACTTTGATAATAACAACTAAATGCTAAACAATAACCCTTCACTATAAGAATGAATAAACTAGTTTAAACCACAGTAGCAAATGATGCACTAATTAAGGCAGATTAGTAACGAAGAGGTTCAAGTTTGCCGTCTGACCCAGCACCTCCAGTCCAGTCGATCCTCTGTTCCTGTCTGGTGGGCTCAGGTGAAAGAGCGCCACAAACACCACAGACCTGAACCGACACACCCGCTGAGCCCGTCTCTAAGCATTTCTTTCTGAGTTTGTGACCTTTGTCACACCGGTTCCTCCGTCTACAATGACAGGCAACCTTTATACAGGACAAAATCACAAAGACACTCAAAAGAGAAAATACAGGTGCTCATGGGTATTTAATACAAACAGCAAGATGAGTGAAACGGTGATGGGCATGGTGGAAATAATACACAAGCAGAGAAACAGCTGCAGTGTAAAAGAAAAAGTGGCAAATGATGATGATAAGTGGTGAGAGTGTTCAAGATAATAACACAGACAGAGAGAAAGAAAAGCTCTCAGTAATGTCATCACAGCTTTTATCACAATCAGCAGCATAAAACCCTATAATCGAAACATTTTCCAGCTGAACTTTAACTTGACATTTGTAACAAGCAGGAGTGCTCCACTTATGAAGTTTTGTAAAAATCTGAGATAATAGCATTTGATACCAGCAAAAACAACAGCACAGTCGAATTGTTTTTTTTAATATTATTTCAGTTTTTATTTTATTTGATCACATTTTCCTCTTTTTCTTCTTGATCTTAAAAGCCCAATCCTTTTACCTTGTTTGCAGGGTAGATTATCTTATGGTTCTTCCCTGTGTGTGTTTTTTTATGAAAAACTTGAAATGTGTTAAAACCGCAAAACAACTTTATGGCAGTGAAGATAAGGCCACTGGGAGCCATTTAGAAACCTGAGAGGGAGGAAAAGTCACTGTTGGACCAGGGATGTGAATGAGTAGCTTGTAAAATGAGCAAAAAATACAAAAAAGTCTGTGGATATACCTCTTCTTTTTTAGATAAAACCAGTTGGGAAAGTTAGAGAGTGCACCTTAGCTTTTAATCTTATTACCTCTACAGTGTAAAACTAATCAGAGGAGCCAGCCTTTGCATATTTGCCCTTTCACAGCAGATGTACATTTGCAGTGCCTCGTACTATGCATATTTACTCAGAGTCTGCATATATTAGGCAGCCTCTTAACATTCAAGTTATGCTCTGTCCTTCACTGACCTTCATTCTGTATGCAATCACTTTTTATAAATGCAGAGACAAACGATGTGCTGACTAAATCAATAAATCTCTCTCGTCTGTTGCCCTAGTTTGTAAGGAGGCCAAGGCTGACCTGGCGTTCCTGGTCGACGGCTCCTGGTCCATCGGAGACGACAACTTCATGAAGATCACACGTTTCCTCTACAGCACCATGGGATCGCTGGATCTGATTGGACCAGATGGCACCCAGGTCAGTCATGTGACCCCACCCACATCTATATCAGGGAGAATATGATCAATCTCAAAGGAATCACTAAAGATGAAAAAGTTATCAACAACTTTTAATGTACATCCCTTTCCCCGAATGCATCATAAAATAAGGAAAGATTTCAGATTTAAAGCGCAGTCTTATCCATGTAGGTCTGAGTTATTCTGAAGAGAGTCTCTTTGGAGTGCTACTACTCATATTTATGGCTGCTAGTGTTTCTCGTGTCTAAGCGTAATGTCTGTGTGGAGAGAATTGCTGTATGGTCCGTAGGTATACCATCATAAGTTAACCAACAGAAATATAAATGTGCTTTAAGCTTTTCATTTCCGGTCACTCGCTTTGCAATCTATCCTCTATGTCAGAAAAAATGCATGCTCATGGGAAATGGAGAAGCAGATGATTGGGATCCAGCCAAAAGTACCCAGACTGAAAACTATAAAAATAACAAGATAAAAAAATAAAAGTAACAAAGAAACTAAAAACAAGATAAATGTACGGAAATGAAAACGTTCTTCACAATATATATTTGTTTTTTTTAAATTATATATTAATTTTTTGTAGAATTCAGAAATTAAACAGTACAAACCCCTGTAGGGTCTTTCAGTACTCCTGAGAAGACATCCATTAACTTAGTGGTGAAATGAAGTTATATTTCACTGACTTATTCCCTCGTCATCAGAAACGATAAAAAATACACTCATCATTTTCGTGTGAGGTGCTAAAGCGTTACCTCGTTAATTTTTAACCCATTTAGACCTGACGCATGTATATACCTTTAAGACCTGATGAGACCCTGGCATGCTTCTACCTGCTAGACCTGATGCAATATTTGTGTCTCCTTGTTGTCTTTGTTTACATGATTCTAAGAAAGAATATGAACCTTAGTGCTAAGGCAATGCTTTGAATTTAAAGCAAGTGTTTTTAATTGTATGTCTCTATCTGATAAAAAGCTCAGTACTTTAGATTTTATTAAAAGTTTAAATTCAGTGCAGTTTTATGGAAAACCCTCAGGTTTTGGGAGCTTGTTTTCAAACATTACTGAGGTTTAAGAGGGTGTTTTTTGTAAGCGACTTTAAGTCTAAAATGGATTAAAATCTCCGGCCACAGAGACAGGAATCAGTCAGGATCTATGTTAACTAATGTTCTGTGTGCTCAACAGATAAAGATAGATTGTAGAAATTAACATTTACTTATTTTCTCTGCTGGAATCCTTGGCTACATTCTCTAAAGAGTGTGTTAAGGACCCTGGACCATCAAGATCAATATCTGTGAGCTATATTGTCAGTAGTACTCATACAGTAGTATTGTATGAGGACTGTTATTAATCAAACTCTCTGTTGCATCAAGAGTGTGAGCACATGTTTTTAATTTTTTACTCTGCTAATTTGCTGCATCTATGTCTTTGTGTTAGAAGCATTACTTATCTTGCGGGATTATTAGCCCAAGTCTAAATGCATTGAAAGCTGGAATAAAGACTCTACACTCAAACGAAAACATACAGTCACCTTTATTTTAAGTTCAAAATCCACCTTGAGCAAAACTACTGCATTATACCAACAATAGTTTGTTTCTAAAGCATAAGGTCCATCTGCAGGACTTCCAATCTGTTCTTAAAACTCTTAAAAGTAGTTTTTTTTTGGTCTTTTTGAACTAATCTCTTTCTGCTTCTTGCCTTCGCGACCCCCCCACAGTGTCAGCAGAGCTCAGCTGGTTCATTTGTCACACTGCTTGCTAAAACCTTTTTCTCTCATTTGTATACTGCCTGCTGTTTAGCAGTTTGCTTCCCTCTCTGTGCCCCATAACCCTCTGGCATCGGAGGCTACGAAGAGCAGAGCACTGGCTGTAACGTGAGAGAGTTGGCCGTACGGTAAAGACCGAGTTGGCTGCTAAATGTACGCTGCCCCGAGCCAACAACAGCACCATTAGCAGGGTGGAGGTAATCATAGTTGTTCGCCCCTCTTAGAGTTAGAAAATCAGATTCAGTATAGCTCTGATTTGGTTGGTTGGTTAGGTTATATATATATTTATACATGAGTTAATTCGACCAAGACTAAATAAGGCTGGAACATTCCTGTTTGACAAAAAAACGTCAGTGTGAAAAGTATTAAGAACACCACTAATGACCTGATCGAACAGTTTGAAATAAGTGACCTGTTACAGTTTTCTTCCATAAAGGAAAACCTTGTAAATGTCTCATTAGCTTCTTATGTGTCATGTACAGTTTAGTTTAGACTTTTTGGAGCAGTTTAGGCACTTCATATAACAGGGTCATCTTCAGTGAACAGCATCTGTTGATCCCAGTAGCTACTATTCACAATAAAAGAAAATAGCAGGTGATGATGATGAAAGTATTACATTTTTGGACCCAGAGAGGAGACATATGGCTTTGTTACACTCCCCTAAAGCCAAATCACTTGCTCTGCACAAACGGTGGTTTCAGTGGTTTTGTGAGTGACATGAGCGTGAGCAGATGATGACTTCATTTTCCTTTTTTGTGCACACTAATCCCTAAAGCGTTTTTTTTTTTTTCTCAGCGTTCCAGGAGATCAGCGTTATCTTTGTTTTATTTTTTTGCCGTTTGATTCAAACTAATATTCTTTGTGTCTGTCTCGGCCTCTCCACAGGTAGCTATTGCTCAGTTCAGTGACGATGCTAGGACTGAGTTCCAGCTGAGTTCCCATGGCAACAAGGAGGCGCTACTGGAAGCTATACAGAGGATCAGTTACAAGGGAGGAAACACCAAAACAGGTCAGAGCAGTGCATACATAATATAAATGTGGTAATAGTTTATGCAGTACAACAAGAGAGGTCAGTTTTATTTACACTAGGACAGTTATTTAGTTATTCATAAATCAGAAGTTTTGAACACGTCCTATGGTCTAGAGACAGATATTAGATTTTCATTTTGAAAGCCTATTTGGACTTCATTCTGGACTCATGCTGACTTGAGATTAAAACAGGCACGTCTCACCCGTGGGTGTTGTGGGTGTTGCGACACCCACACTTTCATTGAAACGTATTTTCATCCCCCACACTTTTTACCAGTGGAGTCATTGATGAAAACCTATTGGTCAAGTAAGATTTATTAAGTGACAATTAAGCCAATCATAGCTGTTTGGTTACAGTTGAAGCACGGTAATGTTACCTGCATTTAATCCTCCTGTCACTCAGCACTGGCTGAGCTTAAGCTAACTGGGTTACTTACAATGGATGTTCATAAAGTTAGTGTCTAATTATCTTTTGTAACTTTGTCTTGTTGTATAATGTGTCAGCTAACATTAGTTACTGGACATTAAATGAAACATAACATAACATAACATATCTTGTGGGGCGGCTGTAGCTCAGTTGGTAGAGTCATTGCCTTTCAACCAAAAGGTCGGGGGTTTGATAATATACTAGCATTAGAACACCCGCACTTTTAAAATCACTGCTCCACCCCTGGATTAAAAGTTCATTCTTAACCTCAGAAGCAGCAGTCGAAAACTACAATCTCACCACAGTGTTCATGAGTAGCAGATTTCATGGCTACTGGGAAAACTATTTTTGTTTTATAAGATTGTCGGATGACGTTGAAACAGAACGGAGCAGCAACCAAACGGCCCTGTGGTGGGGTTGTTTTTCAGCTGAAGCGTCCAAGTTCAACATGAACTTTAAACATCAACTCATCAGACTCAATCTTTGCAATCAAATGTGAAGTGAGTGTGTTTTGAAATGTGGAACATCTCTTTGGAAGTATCAGGATTCCTGTCAAAACTCTCGCATACTGCAGAGAGAAGAACGACTGGAAAGTAGGATTAAGATACACAGCAAGCGGTGTGAGCTTGTGAATTTGTTGTCATGTTTTTGGGGAAGCCTCAGCTGTGCTACTCCACACTGTTGAATTCACAAATATGGCTTTAGAGGTTGTGCTTGTTGTTTAGTGGGTCATAGTCTGTTCTGAGTCATTTGGGTCCTTGAGCTCTTTTATCTGCTCCAGGTCTGGTCACACTTCCACTTTTTCTATTTCTTCCTCATCTTTACTCTTTCTTATTAACTCTCTTATTAACTCAACCTGTCCCAACTCTGCTTCCTAGATTTTGGTATGTTTATCATTAACTGTTTTTCTCATCATGTTTTTGATGCCAACAGAATTGCTTGCCTGTATCATGTTCCCATTTTCATGTTTTTTTTTAGACTAAATGAAATTAATTTACCGAGTTCAGTTCATAAAGATGTACTAACGTAGCAATGGAAGACAGCATGTATAGAAGGTGAGGAAGTGTCACCAGAGTCTCAGGCAGGCCTGCCCGCAGAAATGGCTGATCCTCTGAAGGATCCAGTGAATGGGAGTTTAAATCAACTTATGCACATTCAATCAGTACTGTTAGCACCAGCCTCCTGGCTAATATAAGTTCCCTCTGCCTGGCTCCCATCACTGCCCTAAATTGCCCTAGCCAGCTCCCTCCTTTTCTTCTTCTTTCTGTTCTGGACTTTCTGCCCATCCTGGAATGGCTATACTGATTGCGACATAACTGGCACAACAGATAAGTTCACTGGGTCTGCTTGCTTTGGTATTTAAAAAAAAAGGCTTTTATCATCTGAAGCATTTTGAAACAGGCTACATTCTACTGAATCAGTGTGTGTTTGTTCGCTTAAGAGGTAATGGTTAGTATTTAGGGGTAATAAAATGTGGTCATTGTTGCTTAAAAATTAGGATGGACCACATCTTTTGCTAACCTCCATGGGCCCTCATCATGTGACTAGGCCCCAGCTTTCCTCTTTATCCCCCTGTATGGGCAGCCTTGGTCCCAGGTAAGGTCTACAACTTGGACTGGGGTCAAGCCACTTTTTGTCAGCCTTTTTTTTGCCTCTATTGATATGAGAGCTGAAGAGAGAACGGAAAAGTGTGTAGGAGAGAATGGGTTAAACATGCATCCAAAGGTCAAGGATTGTGGCCTGTTTCTAAGGGGCGCCTGTCTATAGACTGAGGTAAACCGGGGCCTGCAAAAAAAAAGACTAAGAGGCATTGTGATTACATTTAGGCAACACAACACTCACACTTTGATTACTGTTAGTCAAATTTTTGTTTTTGTGCTGAGGCAACAAAAGCTCCTTGGTTAGGTCTGATGAAATTTGTCTACAACATTTAGGTAACTTAAGCTCTCAGCTTAAGGTAAGGGATCATGGGGTCAGTTAAATTAGTCTCAAGTCGCTGCCGACTTTGATTTTTATTAAACTGAGCATAGGACATGTTAATGTTTCATAGTTAATTTGAGTGAATAGAGTATGTAAGATTATCCTTTTTAGAAGAAAAAAAAACTACACGTCCCTTCTTGAATGTTTCTTTTTTCTTGCTCTGAATTTTTGTTTGGTTTTCTTAAAACTTCAACCTCCTCCTCTTCCTCTCTTCATTCAGCTGTTATCCTGATGTTTCCTAAACTGCTTCCTGTCTCCGTCTTACTTTGTGTATTACCACATGTTGCTCTTATACACCTACATCTATTCTACTGTTATATACACACATGTGCATTTTACTCATCTGGAACACTTAAAGAAGGATCAGTAGTTTTTCTGGCTTCAGGACTTAGTCTTGCATTACAACCCTTAAGTCATTTATTTGATCTTCAAACCAGAATTATTCCCCTTTTCTTAATTCTGAAACCTCATCTTCTCCTGAGAGACCCCATCAGGGCTCTGTGTCTTAATCCACCAAAAGCCTGCAGAGGAACTATTGTAACTCTCTGCTGTTTAGCCCTCAGCCTCTGGCAGATACATCTGTGTGGATACAACTGTTAGCCAACTCCAGCCTTGCAGCTTTTATGGCTTTTTTATGGTTTTACTGTAAGTAGCCGACTAACTTTATATCCTCTGTCTTACAGCCCATGGGTCGAGCAAACAGATTGAAAATGCATTTTAAACTCTGCTAAAGACAAAGCATAGAATCACTTTCGTTCATTCTGAGAAATAAGATTTAAATCTGCTGGTTTTAGAGTGCATGTTCAATTTTTGCAGCATCTCACATGAGAGCTGCTCACCAGCCACCCAGAACTGCTACTGTATCTGTGGGGGATGAGTACTTTACTCGATGGCTTATAGTCTTAAGCCCTTTCTCTCTACCTATTTTAAAAATGTAAATGACTCTTCCTTCTTTAAGACTTTACACTGTTTTTTTTTCTACTGTCAGTGCATGTGTGAGGGGAGAGTGTGTTGAGGAGTCAGAGTGCTGAGGCTGAGACTCAGGGATTTGACTTTTCGTTATGCATTTATTCATTAAGGTATTAGTGAGCCTCTGACAGGCCTTTCCAATGATTGATTTAATGTAGCTGCAGCTGTGATAGTCACTGTACTTTATAAATACTGTATGTGTGTCTTTGAGATAGATTTTCAGGCTCTACATGAGACAATGTACATGAGACATTCCTGCTTTGCACATTATAACGTAGTGTGTGAGGGCTTAGATGACTGAACTGCAGCATTATATATTCTTGATTTTAAGACATTGACTCAAAGCAAGAATAAATTTAAGCTTTTTAAAAAAAAAACATATTATATGACAACACAATGACAAGAACGTATCTTAAAAGGAAGCATGTCATTTTACAGATAAATACAGCAGAAATCAAGTACATCATATGTAAATGTCTATAATGAGTGAGACGAGCGAGTCTCACCAGCTGTATTGTTGTCAGAGCTGTGTTTATGTCATGTTTACATGGACGGGACGGCCTTGTGTACAAAGCTGTTTTAGTCAAGGACAAGAGAAAAGAAGAATAACACAGCCTGCTCACTGCTTATTTGGATTTCACATAAGTGTTTTTAGATCACGGTTTATGTGAAATGTGAAGCTGTGAGTTAACCAAAGTGTGCTAATATTTCAGCTCGAGCAAAGGAAACATTTTCAGACACGTACGCTTAACAGTGCTTAATTATGGTGCGTTCTAATTCATAAGTCCTTCGTGTGAACGGGAGTGGTGAGAGGTTGGATGTCTGGAGGAGAGCGGAGGTGTCGCCAAACAGCAGTTTGTTTTCGTTTCATGCTTGTGCTCAAGGGCGACATCTACTGGATCAAAAAGTCACGTTCTTCCTTTTATGTATTTTTAAGATGTTTAAAAAATATATAATTTCCTGGAAAACATTTAAAAAACAGTTATTGAGGGATCCTTCACAATATGAACTCACAGTTTCTAACTAGGACCGGATAAATGTGGAGTTTATTTTCTGCAATCATTTTCAACATCACATTGCAGTTACACGTCGATGGTGTTCTTAATTTTTTGATACAAAACTGATGTTTTTCTGACCTGCAGATCCAACAAAAACTTGTTAGTTTGGACTTATCTAGTAAATTCACATTGTTAAGAGGGTGTAAATGCACTGCAAATTCCAAAGTTGGACCAACCCCTGTAGAAATTCTGGTTCTAATGTATGCGGTATCATGTTTTGAAACAGTATCATTTCAGTTTCAAGTATTGTGAAACCTGACTTGGTGTTGGTTCCTTGTCATAATGCTGGTATCGTGACATCTCTTCTTCACTCAGGAGCATTTATTCATTTTGTATCCAGATAAAATCTTACTCTTATTGTCTATGTCCCATCTCCATTACATCCGGGCCTAAAAAGCTATCTAGCAGTTGTTCTGTGCTGTCACCTATTTTACTTTTTGAATATTTATCCTATACCACTATTAATTGATTTGTTAAGCCAAATCAAAATCCTAAAAAAGTCAAGATCAACCTTCCTGCTTTGAAAGAAAGCCTTAAACTTGCAGAATAAAATCGCACTCTTCTGTCTTGTTTCTCTGGAGTAAATACAGCAGTATGTACACATAGGATCAGTCAGTAAAAGAACCTCACTCACTTCAAAAGGTTTATAAGTATTTTATGGTTTCGAGTATAAATGTATGAGCTACCATTTTGTATTTTAATTTTATTATATCACGAATGTCAAAAAATTAACCGTAGGAATTTGTACTTTCATTTCTCAAACATTGTTTTTTATAGTTTAAAATTGTACAACAGTCTTTTATCTGCAGCCCCCCCAAAAAAAAAAAACAACAACACTCACACTCTCACACACACACACACACACACACACACACACACACACACACACACACACACACACACACACACACATAAGTTGTTCAGCAATCCTCTATATCCTCAAGCTGAAGAGAGGTACCTCTCTTCAGTTTTCTTTTCTTGTTTACCTTCTGTTGTGACAGCGTGAACACTGTTATTCTGTTGCCAGACAGGAAACCAAATCCAATCTGACATGGACTACTTCAGCCACAAAGTGATGGATTGCTGATTGAAGACAGGATTTTGAACCCAAGATCCACTGACATGTTTTTTGTTTGCTTTTTTTTTTTTTCACCCCCGTGTCATACCTTGCCTTACCCTTCTGACCCCACTTTTCTTTCTTCTTCCATCTTTTTCTTTTCCAAAATGTTCCCCTGCTCATTGGCTCTCATACCTTCCCTCCTTCGTCTTTCCCCCGTCTCCTCTGCTCTGTCCTGTGTCTCACTTCATGCCTGGCTAGCTGCTGTAATTCCAGTCTAGCCCAGCGTGATCAACGGACAGTCTAGAAACAGATGTATCACTGGAAGATATCTGACAACACAACACTTTACAGGTCAAGCACTCCATCGTTACTCATCACTGACAGCTGCGTGAAAAAAAAAGACAACAGGAGGAGGATTTGCGGATATGGTCCGAGGGTTGGTCGGTTGGTTAGAAATTGGAAGACACAGACACCATGTACATAGAGAACCACCTAAACCTATTATGATCGCGTTAAGGGGCTAGTATTTACGGCATCATCTGGTGTATTTTTTATTGCAATGTTTCCTGATTTTGGCAGTTTTTCTCCACAACTCCTGAAAACAAAAGTGAAGTGAGAGTAAAAAGTGTAAAAGGTCAGAGGAAGTTGATTTTATTAACAGTGATTGTCCATTTAATTCTAGAAAGGTCATGTTGAGATGAATGCATGAGCTGTGTGAAGTACAAATGCTAATCATGATGGACAATATGCTAAAATTGGCATTAAATAGAAATGACCTTGTGGGGGTGATTACATGGTTTATTGCACAAATGTTGTTTATAAAGAGCATATGAGAAGTCTCTAACACTGACAGAGCAGGACATTTTCTCCTGTTGTTTAAATCACTATAAATTGTACCTTGTTGGCTCTTAATAACAATAATCAATATCCTGAATCTGCTTAGAGTTCACGTTCCACAATCGCTGCGTTCAGTCCATTGATAGAAATACAATAAAAATATGATTTAATGAATTAAAATACTTTTGATTTCCCCTGATAAATTACAGACTTTTTGAAAAATATTTTACAGAACTCTTGGGAATTTTTTAAAGGGGCTTGGAGCACAGGCATAAGGCATCATTCAAATTCACTGATAAGTACAGAGGAACCACCTTGGCGGCTCTGTGGTGGGCGGATTTTGAAACCTTTTAAAGCTGTCTAGACAGATTTTATTGACTGATTATATCCATTAGCAGATGACCTGCAGACTGTCTCCATCTAATTCTAACTTTTTGACGGACTAGATCATGACATTTTCATCTCAGTTTGCTTCATCTTTAAGTGATTACCTATTATTGAAATACGTTGGACTTTGTCTGTTTTTGGTCATATTTTAGATGCTAATGGAAACTCAACAAGAACCTGGTTTCAGGAGCTGTTAGGTCATTATGTTAAAGTTATGAGCTACCAGATGTGTTTAATGAATGTCTGTGGAATAATAAGAATGCTTGTTTTTTTTTTTAATAAGCAAATATATGAAAAGTATAGTAAAGGTCAAACACAATCACATCATTGCTAGAAATGGAAAGAATGACTGTTTTGTGAATGAAGACAAACTTTTATTCCTCTGTCCCAAAGTGTTTCTCGTTCTTTATCTGTGAAACATTGGAGCTTTAAATTATCTGTAATAGTGGTGTGGAAACAATCTATATCTTTTTGTCGTATTTAAACATACACATGTTTGCAAACATACAGTTTCATTTTTCATTTCTTTAAGCCAGACAATACCCATGCCACGACAAAAAGAAATAATCTCTCAGAAACGTGAGGGCGTTTGAGTTAAATCCTATTTACTATTATCAGCAGCTTTTATTTTTTCACATTTTTGTGTAAAACAGTCACAGAAACTCGCAACTAGGAATTTCAAATGTAAACCAAATGTTTACGTTTGAAAGGAAAACTGCTATTTTAGGGAGCTCACAAAGATATAGATAGCTGAGAGAGCTTCCGTGATAATACATAGCATGCACCTGACTTCTCACTGAATTTAACAATGTGAAATATTACAAATAATAAAGAAAATGTAAAAAAAGAGTTGGGGGAGCTGCATCAGCAAATGATTGCATGAGCTTCATCTGCAGACTTACAGTCAAGGAGTGAGGCTTTAATCTCTGAGCCACACACTGAGCTGGATGAAGGTGATTGGATGTGACATTGAGTATTTATTATAAATAGCTGAAGCCATTCAGACATTAAAACCTACATTTCATGTTTCTCTACACTAACTAGCCTCATTCGTGTAATGATAAGAAGAATAAAGGAGGCAAAATGTGAATTGTTAATAATTAAAAATCTTTTAATCTTTTAACTGTTGTACTGTTACTCAAAATATTGTCTAAATTAAAAGAAAGAGAAAAGCAATGTAATTATTTTGGGTTAAAAAAGGGCAAGAACATAAACTAAGAATTTAGGGTCTTTTGATCAAGTGGTTTCTTTTGGTCTGTCTTCTGTCAGGTCGGGCCATCAAACATGTGAAGGAGACGATTTTCACCCCAGAGGCCGGAGCTAGAAGGGGCGTCCCTAAAGTCCTGGTTGTTCTCACTGACGGACGCTCGCAGGACGATGTCAACAAAGTGTCCAAGGAGATGCAGATGGATGGTTTGTATATAGTAAATCCAGAAACAGAAGCAACATCTTTGGTTGTTGTCATAATTCATTGATTTTCAAATTGCTTATAAGTTGTGTTTGTCGATCCAGTAAACGCAAGAAGCAGGACACAACTTTTGTTCGCTTCTCATTCTTGGATGCTTTTATGCTGCAAATCATATTTTATAGTTAAGGACGTCAGACACTCTCTACAATGTGTTACATCACTCTTCTTAATCCTCTCCATTGACTTTGAAATGAGTTTTCTTGTCTAATTCAATTCTCAGGCTATATTATCTTTGCCATTGGCTTTGCGGACGCCGACTACGGGGAGCTGGTGAATATCGCCAGTAAGCCGAGTGACAGACACGTCTTCTTTGTGGACGATTTGGATGCGGTGAAGAAAATAGAAGAGCAGCTCATTACTTTTGTCTGTGAGGCTGCAACTGCAAGTGAGTAACAGCAGCCAATGTTTTAAACAAAGGGAGGGTAAGGGGGGGGGAGAGGTCAAATAGTGAAATGACAAACATACTGTGAATAAAGAGGCAAGAAGAAGATTGAAAAAAGGACTCCTGATAGTGAAGAGAAGCAAATACATGACTTGAGAAAAGAGAAATAAAAATGATTCATTTGCTGGTTGTATGTTTAAAGTCTGATTGATGAACTAACAGACCTGTTTGTGTCTTTCAGCTTGTCCGTCTGTTTTGATGAGTGGTAACACAATGGCAGGTAAGAGTTGAAAATGACAAGAAGCAACAAAATATACTGTAACACATCGTATAAGGCCAGGACTCAAAGATAATGATGATGACAATAATAACCTCATGACAGTGTGCCGTGTGGTGGCACTAATGGTTGTGATCCATTTGATCTGCAGAGTCCCTCTGCACCTTTAAGAAAAAGCTAAAGACCCAGCTCTTTAATGAATACCTACTAACTTAATGATGATGATGGTCTCCATATTATTGATGATGATGATGGTAGTGACGATGGTTTTTGTTTGATAACGATGACTTATAAGATGGTTTCTATACTGATTAGAGCTCTCAAGAACTGCCCTCAATGTTGTGCTTTGCCTCTGGTCACTTCCTGTCAGCACCTGTGTGTCCAATCAGACTCAAAGCTGATCGTTTGCTCTTACTGACATTGTTCCCTTTTTTCTAGAGCCTTGCTTGTGTTGTACTTACTCTCGGATGTACGTCGCTTTGGATAAAAGCGTCTGCTAAGTGAATTGTAGAATTGGGATAACAGTGATGACGTGGGGCAAGATGCTGATTGTACTAAAAAAAAATTGTCCTTTGAAGGCTTCCGTATGATGGAGAAGTTTGGACTCGTGGAGAAGGAGTACAGCACGATACCTGGAGTGTCACTGGAGCCCGGCTCATTTAACAGCTTCCCCTGTTACAGACTACACCGAGACGCTCTGGTGTCACAGCCGACGAAGTGAGTACAAACACGTCCACACCAGCAGAGGAATCTGTAACAAATGACCTCAGTTAAAAAAGCATTGTTTGGAAAACTTTTCTTGAAAAGCTGTTTAAGTTGGCAAGTAAATAAAGTGTGCGTTATAGCTGTCATCAGATAATGAGTCCTATATGAGTTTGAGTTATTGTGACTGTTTAATCTGTTTGAACACTGAGATCAAGACCTCTGATCATGACAGCTGGGAGCAAATTACAAACAAAGTCAGATAAGAGGTTTAAGTGTCACTTTACAATAATCGTGGCACCAATGTGAAAGTGCCTTCAATCTGCATTCTTTCTAATGGCCAGAAGGGGAGTACTGCTCTTGATTTATGTAATATTCTTTAGTTTTTCCTGTGTTCGAAAGTTTTGTTTTAATGTTTGTCTAATCACACTGACTTTGACACTGGGAGTTCTGACTTTCAGTGTTCAGAGGGACAAAAATAACCTTTACGCTAAAAGCTAACTTCAGGGGAACAATAAAGCTAACATGTCAATGGGTTTCTCTTTATCTGTGTTTGGATTGTGTTTATAGACACACATGATTAAGTTCCTTCACAACACGGAGCCCACACTTATAAGGTTTGTGTTTTAATGCTTAAAGGTAGGTTGGTCATTTTCGTAAACTAACATGAGTTTGAAAGGAGCATTCCCTCAGTGCTCCGTCTACACCCTCCCCCTCCCCTCTGTTCTCCCTCAAAAGCCACGCCCCTCACTTACATGAGCACTGTTAGACCTCAGCTCATCTCTTGTATTGTGAAGCTACATCTTCTGACGTCTCATTCAGCAGTAAGAAAACACTAAACTTTATCATAATACGTGTAAAAAAAAAAACTGACTATTTTACTACTCACCATGGCCAATGACACGCTCACAGGATAAACTGTAATCGGTGACGTGTGTGGGCTAGTGCATGCAAGGGGTAGAGAACAAGCAAGGAGACAGGGAGGCATGATTGGCTCATCAAATTGACATTTCAGTTCAGACATTTATTGAAAGTTTTTACATGCTTACAAGAATTTCAACCACAATTTCAACCAGCATTTTAAAAAGTGTAAAAAATGACCAACCCTGCCTTTAATGTGTGAAGAATGTCTCATCTGAAGCTTGAATATTTTTTGTAGAAAGTTTATCATATAGTATAATTTGAAAAATAGAAATTTCCTGAAATCACTGAGCAGAAGCAGACTGTTGCAGCTCTCACTAATCCTAATTTATTTTTTCCAATCAACACAGAATTCAAATTGTCAACGTCAGACCATTCACCTCTTAGCCCTGAAAGCAAAATTACAGAATGTTTTTCAAAACAATCTCCAACTGTGAAGAACTGCGTCTTCAGTGTCACTTTTAAAAGTTTCTTTGCCTTTTACCAAAAATTGTCTACAGTGAATCAAATTATAAAAATTGTATGCATCGGTCACCTGTCACACATAAGCTATTTGGTTTCCTGTGAAAACCTGTGAAATCTGTTTCAAGCGTTTATTAAAAAATCAAGGATCAATAATTGAATTTATTCAAGCTGAACAGTCCCCCACTCAAAAATTAAAGTGAGATTATGATTTATTGGTTTTGTTTGTTACATATTGATATAAACTGTAGACCCACAGTATATCCATGAAATCTTCAAAGCTCAAACATGGCACTTTGAGGAGCATGAAATATTGAAAGGTCAAAGGTTAAGCTCATCTATTTATGTTTCACCTTGTGCCTTTAAAGTGGGTTTCTAATTATGATATGGTACCTTGTAGTTAACTGACTTCACATCATTAAGAACAATAAAATGATCCTGTGAGATAGTGGAGTTTCAGTTTATAAGCATTAGAATAGAAGTTAGAATTACACCTGAGGGAAATATTCGAGTGAAAGAAAAGCAGCACTTAACAATGGCATCAAAAAGGCTTCTGCAAAGTCTTTTTTTTTTCTGGGATGTTGTCATTTTTGGAGCTTTATTCTTGGTTTTTGCCATCAACCAACTCTTTCCATTAGCTCTATGCTTTGTGATTGTTCAGCGGGTGATTTGTGACATCGATGAGCCATCTAAAAAAGTTGAAGCTAAGATCATTTGAACCTGAAGTGCTCTAGGGCAGCTGCACAAAATAAAGGCAAGGCTTTGTGATCAAAAAGAGGCTGGCACTCAAAGACAGTCTCAGGCAGCTCAAAGCACTCTCAAAGCGTTCACTACAGCTGTGAAGACACACTGTCAGTTTGAAAAAAGACACCTAGTGGATACATCCCACACAGTTAAGTTCACTATGTGTGTGTGTGTGTGTCTGTACCAGGTACCTCCACCCTGAAGGGTTACCCTCTGACTACACCATTTCTATGATGCTCCGCTTACTCCCTGAGACGCCGCAGGAGCCCTTTGCATTGTGGGAAATTCTGGACAAGGACAATGAGCCACTGGTGGGACTAATCCTGGACAGTGAGTTTGAATCACTTGTGGTTTTTTTATATTTTTTTTCTCCTGCCTCAAAACACACCACTGTTTGACCAGAGCAAACACAAACACCAGCTGTGTGCTGCAGCTCTCCAAGTCCTGATGTGTAAAAACAGTGAGTGCATCACGAAGCAGATTTTAAAAGAGAGGTAGCAGAGAAATACACGCCTAGGGCTACATCTTATTGTGTATCAAACATACTGTTACAATGAATAAGGGGAGCATTAATGTCTTGTCTTTCTTGGTCCCTTTTTCATAAATATTTATGCACATTTTAAAAACCGTGCGTACATGTGTCTTTCATTTTTCTTGTGTGGTTTGTTGCTTATTTTGTCCAGCCCATATAGTTCAATGTTGCTATAAAACGTAATCTCTATTCTTAGTCTTTTTACAGCTCAAAGAGTTCCACTTGATGTGAACATCAACCTCTCCTCTCTCTGTCTGCCCGCAGACTCTGGAAAGACCTTGACGTTCTTCAACAACGACTACAAAGGAGACTTCCAGACCGTCACGTTTGATGGAACTGAAATTAAAAAAGTCTTCCACGGCAGCTTCCACAAGGTGAGTCTTTATATTTGTCCTAATGTCCTAGCTTCTTTTTCATGTCTTTCTGATACGGTAAGAGGTTTTGAGCTGCTGGTCCGAATATGTAAGCAGTTTTAAAGAAACACAATTCAGTGGTATATGTGTGTCCAGTTTCCATTAAGTATCAGGTTCATCAACAAACCTGAAAGTTTTCAAGTGTCCTCATCAGCTGCGTTGACCACTGCAGAGCATCAGGGGAAAGAGGGAGAAGTTTTTCTTGCAGTCCAGATCAAGAGACAGAAATAAGGACGACTGTCTACATTGTGATGCTTTTTTGAATCTGTGGAGCTTGTTGTGTGGTTTTTCCAGTACAGCTCTGGGGCTGGATTTTTCTTCTCTTGACCTGTCAACACTGCTGTGGTGAGTGTGTGTGTGTGTGTGTGTGTGTGTGTGTGTGTGTGTGTGTGGTGATGGCCCTGCTCCCTCATCTGTCTCTCCCTCCTACTCTCCCACTGCTTTTCCATTTCATTATATTTTTTAAACTTGTGGAGTGCACGGAGTGGGAGTGAAACTGCAGATTTCATCACCCTTTAAAAACCTCTGTGTGTTATCCCATGAGAAAGTTACAGTTTTCATGAAGTGATGAACTTTTTGTTTTGGCAATCTTGAGATGTAATCTAAAAGAATCTTAAATCACATTGTACAGACATCATTATCACAAGATAAAAACGTCGGTATTTGTTTCTTCCCATGGTTTTGGATGCCACCATTGTTTCCTGTTGACCTCAGACAGGCGGACCACCAGAGGAGATATCAGTTTTTCTTCCTACTGATTCTCTGACAGCGACATTTCAAAATGTCCATCAATCACCAGGAAATATTTGTATGTAAATTGTGTTGCATCAGATTAGTCAGACTGAATGGAAATGGCTAAATGTTGATGACATTCCCTTAATAAAAGGCAATTTTCTGCTCACTTGAGATGAGAGTAGTTTCAGAAAATATAAATTATGGAATAAATTGTGATGAAAATGCACGTCCTGAATAAATAATGACAGGCATTTAGCCCCTACTGAGAGAGTGAATTAGAAAAACATATTGCAAAATGCTTTGGCTTTTTGGCTTTAAATATCAACAACATTAGGCGAATGATAACAGCCTGCTGGATGATAATCCATGCTTTCCTTTTTGGAGTCGTGTTCTTTGAATTAACCTCACTGTTTAGTACAGTAGCTGTGTTTACTTCAGCAGAGGTGATGGAAATGGACTATATGTTTTTATATTTTTTTAAAGAGTGCTGAAGTCTTTATCAAGTCAGTATTGTGATTTGCAATGAAGCTGCTTCTGTGTACTTTCTGCTCGAGAGTCTCTGTGGATTTCTGATGAAAGCTAACAAACACCAGCCCACCGACTCTGCCTGTCTCTCTTTGTCAAAATGTTCAAAATATCAGTGAGAAGCTGTCCGTCCTTCTAGCTTTGCCTTTTGTTTCTCTCCATTGTTTTCAGTTTTTTTTTTCCTGCTGGAGAACGACAGTGTTGAGAGAGGGGACAGAGACTGCCGAGCAAGAGGAAGTGTTCGTCTCTGTTTAGACAGGATGACAAGTGAATAAGAGGAGTGTCCACGTGCGTGTGCATGTTTGTGTGTCTGTTGTAAAGGGATTACCATATGAAGACACCTCGTGTGAAAGCAGGAATACCCAGCAGGATCTGTCACGGCTCAGCAAAGCACCCACACACATTAACACACTGAGAGAAAGACAAAAAAATCATGAAAAGGTGAGGAGGGAGAGAGGAGAGAGGAGGATGACATAGATATAGCAGTGAGCCTGAGACACAAAGGGAAAAGGTGAGATAAAAATATACTGAGACACAAAATTAAAGAAAGCTGTCTTAAATAAAGCCTACAACTCAAAATCAAACTCAAAAGTCTAAGAATAATATTTCCGGCTCTCACAAAATCATAAAACGAGTCATTAAAATGCTAGAGGGAAATTGATCAGTCTTGTGTGCTGAAAAAAAATCAACATCAGGAGATAACTTTCAGCCGTGAGCTAGCTTATAACAATCCACTGTGTTTCACAGAATGTAATCCTAAATTCACAAATTTGCTTTCGAATAAATTATTATTATAAAGCTGTTTTCATAAATGGTTTTTAGCTCTTTGGCAAGAAGAAGAAGACATGATTACAGAGAAAGAAAGGCATCCACTGAAAAGGAATGTGTCCGTTGAAAGAAGAGATTTGGGCTGACTGAAGCTCAGTTTGTTTGTTTGTGGAGCGAATGAAAAAGATGTGATACAGCATGCGGTCCACAGAGAAATCTGGAGTTAATGTCATAATAAGTTTAGATTTTAAACAAAAAAAACATTTGAGCGTGAAATTTGAAAACCTTTTTTTTTTCACTGACATGAGATTTGAGGATTTTATGGAGTTAATTTTTAAGGCTTTTGAAATGTTTTTCCCCGAGCGATAAGCTTATCACAGTTATCTGGATCATGGCTTTAAGAAAGTGATGAAGCGGGGGGGATTAGACATGGATGAAACAATGATGGGACTTACTGGATACCTGGACAGAAAAATTTGGACAACAACTAAATTATAAATTGCACTGAAAGTGACCGTGTAGGCATCCAGGTCAAGCTTTGAATTCACTGAAAGTGACGTAAACACCTTGAAGGGAGTTCCTACCTATCTATTTTTGTGTCAGCAGAAATACAGTACTGGCGTCACATACATGGCATTTGTCACTTTTAAAAAAAGTAATAAAAGCATGTTGTGTTAGATATAATGTTTTCTCTGACATGAAAGCAGCACTCTGGGGTTAATCAAAACTGCTAACGAGAAAGGACAGGAAATCAGTGAACACATGTTTTACACATAAAGACAAAATAAAAGTGCCCATACTTATTTACATGTAGGATGTCAGTGCTTATGATGTCAGGGGGGGTTGGTAGTCAATCATTGTCATAGAGACATTATTTTGTTTAGTTATAGATTGTAGTTTTTGTCCTACTGTTGATTTTTTTTTCCATGTTTAAAATTTATTTATTTGTTGATTTCTTTCATGTTTAAAATGTTATTTATTTGTTTATTTTCTTGTTCCGCCAAAACTTAAAGCTCAGAGTTGGCGGTTCTTGCAATTGAAGAACAACAGAGTTTTCATTTTGTAAGGGTATAAATTTGAAATGTGCAACATGTCTAAGATAATGAAGCTCTGTCTGTGTTTTGGAATGAAAAGAAATTTGGCTTATGTATGAAAATTGATAAGAGAAGAACCCTTCTTTCATGTTTAAAATTTATTTATTTGTTTATTTTCTTGTTCCGCCAAAACTTAAAGCTCAGAGTTGGCGGTTCTTGCAATTGAAGAACAACAGAGTTTTCATTTTGTAAGGGTATAAATTTGAAATGTGCAACATGTCTAAGATAATGAAGCTCTGTCTGTGTTTTGGAATGAAAAGAAATTTGGCTTATGTATGAAAATTGATAAGAGAAGAACCCTGATAGATAAAATGGAACCACCTGCAGAGAGAGATATAAAGCAATATGATTTTTCACAACTATTCTTTTTTTTGATTTGTTAGACAGCAGAGACATTAGAAAACACAACAGCATGTGAGGTCTATTCATCATGTGTTGGTTATATGGTAATCTGTGGATGGGGCTTGTAGTTTATTGTCACCAATATGACCTCGAGCAGCAGAGTGAATAAACATGGTGCTACTTTTAACATTTAAATGTTTACTAGGGCTGTCAGCATTAATTAAGGTAAGCCTCTGAAGTGTCTCCCTGTAGTCACACCGATGGAAAAGAATGACACTGCTCTATCTTTGAAAAAAACTCTTCAACATGTCACTTATTTACAGTTCCTAGCTATCCACAGCTATTTTCATTTAGTTTGTGATGCGTAACGAGTTTCTTTTTTATATGGTTAGGTTAATGGTGTAACCTTCGATCTATAAGAAGGTCCTTACTTTATTTCAAAATAAAATCAGGGTTGAATTCAAACAGAAAGTAAAGTACTCTCGGATCCAGACATGCAAAATTATGAAATCTGGACTGTGGTATAACTGCATGAAGTGAAAGGTGCATTTTATTAATTTCCTAATGAAAGCTATTGATAAATCTATGAAGTGAATTATGCTAAATGTGGGAATATAACTCCCCTAACAATAAACAGCAACTTTTCTGATGCTGGTCTGAATTTTCACATATTATAAGCTCAAGATGAAAACTGAGAGAGTTGTTTAGAAAAGCCCATTTTCAAGAATAAACTTTCTCATGACTCAAAAAAAGGTCTGAATATCTGGAGGAATGAATACAAGAACAAGCTAGCCTAAAGGACACACACACAAACACACACATACACACATACAAAGAGAAATATTAACATTTATATACCATAGAGTAGACCTTTCATTGCCCTATTCTCTTACCTAAACTGCAACCTCTTAATATCACTGTATATGGACCAAATGCCCTTACCTTAGAGGATTTTGAGCTTTTATATTTCAAAGTATAACACTCTCACACACACTCACACACACGCACACACGCACGCACACACACACACACACACACACACACACACATACGCACGCACACACACATTAGCAAGGTGCAGCTAATGTGGAGTTAGACAAAGTTCATATTCGGGTGTCAGAGCCCGTTTCTCTGCAGACGTCTGGAAGGCTGCTTTATAATGACTTTCTGTTCTCATCCTTCAATCTGCACACTTCACTGGGCATGGTGTGTGTGTGTGTGTGTGTTGTGTGTGTGTGTGTGTGTGTGTGTGTGGTGTGTGTGTGTGTGTGTGTGGTGTGTGTGTTGTGTGTGTGTGTGTGTGTGTGTGTGTGTGTGTGTGTGTGTGTGTGTGTGTGTGTGTGTGTGTGTGTGTGTGTGTGTGTGTGTGTGTGTGTGTGTGTGTGTTGTGTGTGTGTGTGTGTGTGTGTGAGAGTGCATGGCATCAGCATTGGTTTTCTCTTCGAAGAGAGTTTGAGCTCAGGGACGGCTCGAGAGGAAAGGCCAATTTGTGTGCTTTTCGCCTGCATTTGTAACAACCCAACATAAGCAAAGGAACCAATTTCCACGGTGATTAGTCAGTTAAAAGGTGTTTTGTTATTGTTAGTACACATGGACATAAGAGGAAGTCCAATGTTTTGTTCTCTGGCTGATCACAGAGACGAGGCCTGTACATATATCTTTTATATTTATGTCTTCTAATGTATTTCAGTATCTGATAAAAAGTATTGATTATACAGACAAAACAAGGATTTACTTTTTTGATGATATGCTACATCACCTGTAAACTGTTGCTGTTGGTGGGTCACAAGACTATCACACTTTATTTACAGGTCTTTATCTACCTTATTTTCTTTCTCCCTTACAGCTCCATGTGACCATCAGCAAAACATCCGTGAAAGTGGTGTTAGATTGTTCTGTGGCTGGGGAGAAACCCATCAACGCTGCTGGTAACATCACCACCGACGGGGTGGAGATACTGGGACGGATGGTTCGATCTCGAGGCAGTCAGGACAACTCTGCTCCAGTGAGTATCAGATCCTGTCTGCTTCTTTGTTTGGTAAACTCTGAATATAGTGTGATTTAGAGGGGGGGATACCTGTGTGTGTTCAAAATACAATCTGGTCTTAAAAATCTGATAGGTGTCCCCCAAATGAGAAGAATAAAAAGGTCATCAGAGCAGTAAAATCAAGCAGAGGAGACAACACCAAGAAAAAAATGTATTTTCCAATTTGATTCAGGTACTCCTTAAAATAAACATTTGTATTGATATTTTTACCCCATCAGATCAAGCTGGTTTAATGTACAGAAAGAGAGAGCATGAATACAAACCTTCTTTGATCAAGTCATATTCACCTTGCTGGTTATAATCGTCCTTTGTGCATTGATGGCATTGACCAAAAAATGAGGAGTTTGCGTGAACCATTGTGGTCTTTTATGAGATCCAAAAGCCATTCCATTTTGTCAATCAGTGGGTGTTAACTTTATTTACTGCAAATTGAGATGCACAAAGTGCTGTACAAATAATTTGCTGTCTATCCTGCATCCATTAAGAAGCTCAAGCAAACAGAAATAAAATGAATTTTGGCTCACACACACAAGCAAGTGAGGAGGTGAGATATCCGAGACACACTGAGAGCTGCTATTACTAAATTTATACTTCCTATCTGCCACCAAAGAAAATAATCATCTGAAACATGCTGGGAGAAGAGCTTTATATGAAGGATTAGAAAGAAAAAAGTGACATTTTCTGTGCCCATTATCAGATTGGCCTTTATAGCCCATTAGAGGAGGAGGTTGTTAATTTAAAAACGAGTCTCCAGTATTGAAAAATGAAACCGTAATCGAAGCCTTTTCCAGAAATTCTTACTTCAAGCCTTGACATTGTTCAGCTTATTTAGTCTTAATGTTTGTTGCTACAAGTTCCACAAAAGCAACATGTCTCATTATTAACAAACAATAAGGTGGACAGTCCTAATAACCAAAGATCTTAAGAGTTATTAGTCAATGAGATGATTGATAGGAGTGCAACACTAACAGAACATCAGCACTCATAAGGTAAGTCATATAATGTAAGTCATGACATTTACTCCATTTATCTCCAAACAGAAGTTATTCTGTATTTTTAGGTTTTTAGTGTTGGTTCCACTTTTACTGAGTCTTTGAAAATGACCCTATCCATTCCTAAAAAAAAACATACATGACATCACTCAGTGAAGATGAAATCTAATTACAACAAGTTTTATTCTGTATTTGTTTCCATTAGTGTTGTAGTTCTCAAAATCGGTCTTGGTCTCAAGACCACTTTTTGAAGGTTTCAGTCTCGTCTGGGAATCAGGAGCAGTTTTAATATGTCTTGTCTCAGTCACAGAGGGCTGAGTCTGAATTTTAAATCAAGACCGGTCAAGACCATCGACAGGCGATTTTTCCAAGTCATCACTGTGATTAAGAAAGATAACGCCTCTTTATAAAAGAAAAAATAACATCAATTCATTTGTATTTTGATTTATACAGCTGCAACCTTCCCGGTGTTACGGTGTAAGTGAGTAACAAGCCCACGTCACACGATTATGATTTTTCATTGATATTAATGGTATTGGTCTCGTCTCGTTCTCGCCCTGATTTGGTTTTGGTCTTGACTGGGTCTCGATCCCCAAATGTCTTGGTCTTGTCTCGGAGCACTCTGGTCTCAGGTATGTCTTGTTCTCGGTTAGTGTGGTCTTGACTACAACACAGGAGACGTCACTTAAATAAAGAACTGAAAGTTATTGAAACAGTAACAGAGAGAACAACAACTATTATGACCACTAAACTAAGTTCTACAAAATTTGAGGTGCCTTTGTGATATCTAAATGTTGTAACATTGATAAAGGTTTGTTAAAAGTTTATAGCATTAAAAATCCCATCTGGTGTCTGGATGGTTCAAAGTGTAGAAACTGGAATCTGCCCTTCTCAGGATATAAATATAATTCGTCAGAAGCTTTTTCATAGATCTTGTTGATAAACTTAAAACTTTGGATGAATCAGACATGAGCCCATGACCTAATTTATTGCCTGGTTTATAGTTGTGGTCTAGGGAAGCCTCAGAACATGAATTTTGTCTGGAGAAGCTGTCAGCCAGACTTTGTGTATCTATTTCCTGGTACTTTTCCGCTGGTCATTAAGCAGAAAAACTGTCGCCACTCTTCTTGCTTATGAACCCAAAACCCTCATAATTTCAAAACCACACTGTTGTTATCTTTCCCATTTTCTTTTCTGCATCGACAAACATGCTAACTTCTTTAGTCATGACAGTATTAATGGAAATGGTTTGTGTGTGCACGTTTACAGTTCCAGCTCCAGATGTTTGACATCATCTGCAGTACCTCCTGGGCCAGCAGAGATAAGTGCTGCGAGCTGCCAGCATTGGTAAGAAACTAACACAGGCCAATACAACCTGACGCATACATGCTCACACACTTTTATACATGAATTTCTCCCCAATGTCCGCCTTGAATGTGTCATAGTTTAGGGCTACGACTGATAGAGCTTTAGAAAACAAGAGTGACAATTGTGGATAAGATCCAATGTACACCTAATTACTTTGAATTTGTATGAATGGTGTCAGTGTTTGATTAACACTGCAAACACATACGATCAGACAAATTTATAATGAGATTTGTGATAAAGAAATGCACATAAGAATCTCAAGAATTGTCTTTCTCTTATGTACTATTCTAGGCTATATAACGTAAGAGCACCAATCACCAGTGTCCATGTTTTTGGTTTTTTTCTGAATACACAGCCCAATCCCTCCACTGTGTGTCTTTCTGTGTGCTTTCAGAGAGTGGAGGAGCAGTGTCCCGCTATGCCTCATGCCTGTACCTGCTCCCAGGACAGCAAAGGACCTCCAGGACCTTCTGGACCTCCTGTAAGAGCTCACTGAATTCTTTCATGTAATTACATTATCAGACTCTTGTGCTTCAATCCAGAATGAAGAGCATCATGTTCAGTCTGTTTTTGTCTGTGTTTTTTGCGTCTCTGTGTTTCCACAGACATGTGTAGAACTCTTCACGGATATCTCCCCTCTTCACTCTTTATTTGTTTTTCCACTCTGTCTCTATAAAACATGGTAATTTATGGTATTCATATTGCAATACAATCATTAAGAGACTTTCTCCTTCAGAGTTTACCTCATATATCACTGATCTCCTCACTACCTTTGACTGTCTAGACAGTCTTTCAAAAATGTAAGGTTTATTCCAGTAAAAAGGGAATTGTTTTTTTGTTTTTGAATTAAAAAAAAAAAATGCAGACTGCTGTAAAATGCACAGTAGTAAGTTTTTAGATTATAGACAAAAACACAAATGAGATGCTTGGCCATTCTGGTGTCAATTAAAACAGAAGAGACTAAATATGATTTGCTTAACGTTATGGACAGAGGATTAGTCAGCATAATTTCTGCACGACACAATTTTGAATCTAATACACCTTGCTCAACAGAACAGAAATGAAATAACGGCATCGCCATTGTTTTTTCTCAGTCTTGGAAATGAAATAAACATCTTCCACATAGTCAGGCAGTTAAAGTGCACCCTAACGTGTTGGATTGTATCACAGAGCACAGTGCCACATTTATCTCTTGTTTTGAGTGTGCGTGTAATCTGCATGTGGCTGTAGGAATGACCACCAGAGATGTTGTCAGTGAAGTCACCGTTAAGTTTCTCTTCTGTTGTTTTAAGTGCTTTAACTGTACATTCAACCAGATCACGCCTGCCCAGGAAACATCCAGTTTCTGCAAACTGCAAAATCCTCTTAAGGGAAGCCACCCTGAGATCTGTGATATAATGTTAAGTGATAAAACTCCCCATTTCAATACAGCCTAATATTGTTCCCAGCCAAAGGCTCATTCATTAAAACATTGAATAACACGTTTTAAAAAAATGTAATTTGATTTTTATCAAAGTTGATATTGTTTTAATGAAACCTGTGAAATATAGAATAAAATATATCTTTGTTTGTTTCTTTGGGGATTCAGCATGTTAGAGAGAGAAGGGATGAGCTTGTGGAAAAGTTGTATTCGTCTCACGCAGCAGCAGGTACGACCTGACAGAGGCTGAGAGATGAGACCAAGTAAATGAGCTCAATTACAGCCTGAGACTTCAATCTATATTCTTTCTTTCTTTCTTTCTTTCTTTCTTTCTTTCTTTCTTTCTTTCTTTCTTTCTTTCTTTCTTTCTTTCTTTCTGCATTTTTATTTATTTAAATTTCTTCTTTTGACCCATCACAAGATCTGTTTTTCTCTCATTTTCTCTATCTTCTTGAGTTATTTTCTTTATCTCCCTTGTTGGATGGTATGGGCGAGGGCATGAGAGAGGAGTAGATGAAAATCTGTAAAGTTCAAGAAATAAATTGTACGGCTATTCCATTTATCAAAGCCGATAGCAATCCCAACTATTTTCAGCCTGGTTAAATGAGCCGACTTAGGGACGTGTCTTTTCTTGGTTTTAACCTCTCTTTGTTTTTTTTTCGGTCTGTCTTTACTGTTTTTATTTGTAATGCCTTTACATTATATGGAGACAGCTAATTGAAAACTAGAAAAAAAAATGTGCTACAAATCTTTTTTCTTCTTCGAATAAGATAAATCTCTAGTTAATTAGAGAATGGAGTGTTCGATTTGGAAACACATTTTCTCTCCTCTTATACTGTTTCCATCTCTCGCTCACTCTCTCTCAGTCTCCTGCTATCTCTCTTTCTCGGATCAATAGTTGTACTGTACAGCTTTCAACTTTTTCATCATTTTTATCTTTTTTTTCTTTACCTCCACTTCACCCAAATGCCTGAGGCTCCTCTTCTCGTTCTCTTTTTTTTATTATCATTTAATGCCTCTCTGTGCCCGTGTCTGTCTCTTTGTCTGTGTCTGTTTCTCTCGCTGGCATCAAATGGGCTCCTTATATTACATTCTGACTGCAGCGTATGGGCGTAGATGAATGGTTTAATGGCAAATCATAGCCATTTTGTGCTGAAACTGCAAAGTATATCCAGTTCGGTTTTGAAAAAGGACGAAACAGCAATGACATTCCCCTTGTTAACACAACATAACGGATGTTGAGGCCATACATTTTTGTTACACCCCCAGGGAAACTTTCAAAATCCTATCAGACTGTGAAAACAGAGAGTACCAGTGTAAACAAAAGATTTGTACAGAATTTTTGGGGGTTTTTCCTCTGAGATTTTGTGCAGTCTGATAAACCAAGGAGTGTGAGGAAAGCTAAATAAATAGGTGAATCTGTGGACGCATGAGATGCATGTTTGAACACCCAGACTGCCATGAAAAGACAATTGGAGGCCGTAGAAGCTGCAGAGTTAAAAAAAAGATTTAGAAACAAGAGTAGCTGACATCCAATCAGAGAGATTATAAAAGCTAAAAACATCCATTTTACAGGTGACTTATTCGTTGGGTTTATTAATATGCACTTAAATCTCTATCTACACAGAGCAGACAGCGTTTTGGCAGTCTGAATTATAGCTCCAGCAGAAGTCTGCTCTTATACAGTCTTCATCCAAAAACCCTGTTGTGCTTTTCTCTCTCAAAGTAATTTCTGTGTTTGTGTTTTCTGTCAGACGCATGTCTCTTCCTGTCTCGCGCAGCAGCAGGTCTCTTCAGTTTTGTAAATCTTTGAGTCATGTTTGCAAAAATATTGATTGCTCAAACTGAATTGCAATCTGTGCCGCCTGATTTGGCACAGACTCGGCTCAATACCGAACATCATTCAGCAATCAATCTGACATTATGAATAACAAGACAAGCGCTGCCTGCCATCTCCGTTTGTTCAAATTGAATTGTGCCCATGCTGTTTGAGAGCCAAGTGTTTGTTTAAAAAATGTAAATTTGCCTCTGGCATCAAGTCACTCAGTCAAACAATAATATCTGTGTGTGTGTGTGTGCGTGTGTGTGAAAAATTCAAATACAATTTGTATTATTTTTTCATTTGTATTGTTACTTTTTGAAAATGATTTCAGTTTCTCTGCAGGTCTTCAAAAAAAATCAAACAAGTGGAAGGCTCCTGTTGTTTGCATTTATCCATTAAAAACGACCTGCAGAGACAAATTGATGGCTGGGCGTTCATAATCAACCATTTTGAATCACACATGAATTCTTCCCCGAACATGACTTTACTGTAGCAAAGTACTGCAGGTTGAGATGAAAAAAGGTTCCTTTTTGATTTCTTGCTCCTTATAGGAGGAAAGTAACGGATAATTTCTGCCTATATTCTACTATATTTCAATTCTTAAGTAACGTGTTTTAAAGACAGTTATTTGTTGCAGTAGTTATACTTGCCTGTAAGCCTGTTCTAGCATCACTCCACTGTTGATGGATACGGACTGTCAAAGCTGCATTTTAGTTTAGCTACAGCTTACACGAGGCTTCTTAGTCAGAGCGGGTTTCTTCATGCTGGCTGTCATCTATGGGTTTATTGCTGGCTCTGTGAACCACCAAGTGTTGGAAATACAGACAAGGAAAAAGACAAAGAGGAAGTTTTGTACTGAGATTGCCGGTTCAGGCAGGAGGAATCATTATAGCAAACATTTCACGCTGATGGGCATGTGACTTTTATAATAAGCTAGATATAAAATGTCAGAAGCAACCTTTAGCAGGTGTAGCAGAAAAGTGTAAACAGGCCTCATAAACATCACGTTTAGCTGTTTAATTCATTCATGTTTGTAATGAAGATTAACATATTATGCCAGTGTTATTTCTACAAGCTCCTGAGAGGTGAAGCAAACAGACAAACTTCATTTGTTTGAATTGAGTCAATGTTTCAATAGGACTGACCTCTCTCTAAAACCACATTAGTTTGTCTCCCCTCATAATCCTCTTTCATCCTCTCTAAAAACATCCTCCCGTCCCCTCTGGCTTAACCCCGTAGGAACTACCTCATCAGCCCTCTTCCCCAGGGGAGACTTTTTAAAGCAAACATAGGAAGTGGGTGCTTCCCAAATGGACCAATAATCAACAGATATGTTCAGTGTCCCCAGATAAACCTTGAGGATGTGAGGGGATCGGCCCGAGGTTAACAGACTCAAACTCCTGCTGCTGCTCACAGATGCAGCATAATGAGGTGCAGCTCAGAGGAGCGGCCCTGATCACTGTTTGCATCTATCAACGCATTCATGACGAACACCAGTCGAAAAAAACGTTCATACTTTAAAGGGAGTCTACTGTATACTCCTCAGATGTTGGTTTCTTTGCCGTAGCACACAGCTGGCAGACATTGATGTTTTATGCTGATTTGACAGTTTGTGTTTTTTGGTGTGTTTCAGGGAGGTCCAGGCATAAGAGGAGCCCGAGGAGACAGAGGAGAGCCAGGAGTGACGGTCAGTTTAAATGCACCCTAATTTATTCTTCATCAGAACATTATGAGTTTCAAACACGATCTAGCTTGCATCACTTATCTGGTTGAGTCATATTCTCCAAACTGTGGTAGAAAAAGCCCCCTACCAGTTTGTGCTGGTGGACTTGATTTTGCAGTGGAACATTACTTTACTCCTGTGCTTTGGCAAAAATAAAACAGACGCAAGAATTACTGTTTGTGTTTGCAGTGTTCGCACTCAGCAGCAGCCAAACCTCTTCAAGAAAGGCAGCTTGACTGTGATTTATTTTTAAAACTTGGACAATGAATTGCAGTATGTACAAACAGAAACAGGCACTTTTGAAAATGATGACCGAGAATCAGTCGTCCGCGTTGATGGCCCAACACCTGTTGCTTTCACTAACATTTCCATCATGTTGTGCATCCATACAAAGAAACCTATGCTGTTTATTGTTTTCATTTGCAGTATTTTCTGCAGACAACCAGTTTGAAAGAAGTCTATCAGCTTACTGTGGCACATGCTGGTGTTGTGGGATCAAACATATTTCAAAAACATTGCTAAAAGACACATGTGGGTTCAGACTATAACAATCTCTGAAACTGTGTGTCATTGAAGAGCCATATAATTTAACATGTCAGAGTTTGGTCAAAATTGAACTCTTTGTAAGGCTTGCAACAGGAAGTGAATACACCACACCCGCTGCAATGAAAAGGGTGAGGCCACTCTTGTTTATAGTAGTACTTATTTGCAATCCCAACATGCTGGCCCACACCTCTACCTCCAGGGATCAAATGGCCCTTGTTCTGAAACGGGATTTATTTGTCTGAGATATATGTCACTGACTCACAAACAAAGCAGCCCACTCCATCCTCCAGGCTGAATGTGAAGCCCTCATGTTCGGACAGAAATTGATCTTCCTTCATCAACATTTTCCAGACTTTTTCATCTTCCTCAGAATAAAGACAAGCTCTTATCATCACAGCTGTTAACTTCTGTGTTTTATGGATGCATTTCTAACAAATCCTGTCTTGGACTTGCGGTTGAGTTTGCATCTGCCTTGGTTCTGCTGAGGCAGTCCGGTCCAAAATGTTACAAACTCTCCAGCTGTGATAGTCGATACAAAGCCTGATGCTTCTGGAAGTTTCTCAAAACTCAGATCCCATGACTGATATTTAAACGTCTCCTCTTTGAAAGCAGCTGCAGGGGTCCCGCTAGTTTTGCTCAGACACGCAGCGCTGCCACTCAAGAGCATGAGTTTGTTTATCTCAGCTTTACGCCTCTGTTGAGTGACAGTGTGGCGGGTGCATAACATGATGGCCACCCAGAACTTCAATCTGAGCACATCTTGCTAGAAGTTCCCAAAAATTGCAACAAAGACAGGAACAGACTCATGTAAGGTTTTCTAAATGCAGGCCACGTGTGTTATGTTTGATGTGTGTAATTGTGTTAGTTTTGGAGTGTGATGTGGTCTTTCCATCCTCTGGCACACACCGTACGGCACACTTTTATATATTAACATGTGCCTGCCAGTTCACACTCCTCTGTAGCTCGGCAGAATTTGTATGTGTGTAGCTGCAGCCAAGTTTATTTTATTTGGATTGTTCTGTCGTATGAGAGCAGCTCCACCATGAATCCTTCTTTGTTTTGTTCTCACTCATCATTTTCTCACTCATCATTTTGGTTCCATTTCTTGTTATAGTGAAAGCTTTTATAAACGGGAAATTAATTGGCGAGGGGATCAAAATAAACCTCTGTGCAATTTAAATCTCTTTAAAAATCATTAAATATCTTCAAGTGGTTTGGCGCCATCATTGACTGATGTTTATCATGAAGTTAAACATAACTTAACACGTTTCATCCTCTGTTTATTTTGCCTACTTCAATCGTGTATATCAGATCCAGATAGACATGTAGCCAGTGTACGGCATGGTTGAACAGTGAAACCATAAATACAGTCAGAGTGACGATAACTTTGACTACAGCTGCTTCTGATCAAACAAACTACAAATGCTGTGAGTCTGTGGCTGTTTGCAGGAACTCCTTTATTTAAGCTCCTAATGCAGGAACCGTCTCTGCAGCTCATACACATGGATCAACATGTTTCTACATCTTTTTCACTTAGAAGATCTCATAATGAAAGCAGGAATAATGAGCAGAACAACGCCCAGATGTGATGATGATGTTAAATAGAGATTAGAGATATTACTTTATTATTTATATGAAGTACGTGCAGTCTTTGGGAAGAGAGTAGAGCATTCATTACCGCTGCTAATATAAGCTGTACACTTTCACTTGCACATTATGTTTATTTTTCGTTAGAGCTATTCAAATAAAAAAAAAACACAGATTTAACAATGAATTGTTCTGTTTATCAAATATATGGTTTTTTTTATATTTATGAAAAAAATCGAATAATTTACTATTTCATTTGCTGCACTACTTCCAATATACAATACATTCTTTTTTCAAATGATGACCTCTAAAAGAAAGTGTGAAATGTTGATACAAATTTTGTGCAAAGGAAGAAAATAAATCATTGTTTTGTTTTCACAGGGACCTCAGGGGCCGGTGGGAGAGATTGGCCCTCCTGGACCTTCAGGACCACCAGGTCCTCAGGGACCAAATGGTCTCTCTATTCAGGGCCCTCCGGTAAGACTTCGCCTGTGTTTGTTTTTGTACATGCATATTGTAGTGAAGTATAATGTCACATTTTCTAGAGTGCAAAGTCAAATCATGAAACTTTTCAGGATTTATTTTCAAGTTGAAATTTATAACATAAAAATACTCCTATTATAAAAAGTGTTATTTCAGTAATTCTAGGCATTTTCCACAGTTAATTTTTAATGAAGCATTAGTAGAAAATTAGCTGTTTGCCATTTGACTGTGAGTGCAGGTAGGAGTCACAGAATGGGTGCAGTTTAACTTAATATAGAGCTGTGGACCACATGCCAGTTTAAACTGACACACATCAAAGTCTGCCTCAAATAGACTGCTGAAGCTGTTTTTGGGGACTCGTGGCAGCTCAGCATCGTATTAAGATAACTGATGTTGGTTTTTCCAGTCCTTTGGTAGCTTTCGATGTAGTCACCGAGCCAGCTGAGTTGAAATGACATTGTTTGTTTTACAGGGAACTGCTGGAGATAAGGGAGAGAGAGGAGAGATCGGACCAGCTGGACCAATGGTAAGAAATCATTTCTCAAAATAGAAGGACATAGGATTGGCAATCTGCCTGACACGATTCTCTCTCTGTTTTTGTCTTGACCAAATACGCTATAGTATTTGTATTTTCGAACACGGCTGTGTGTGTGACTGTAATTTTAATTTGCTCTCCTTTGTGTGTATCTGTTGCGAATACAAATAAGTCATTCATACATGATCAGAGTGGTGCAGTGGGCCAGCAGCCTCATAGAAATTCATTTTGAAGGCATTGTTCTGTAACTTTGATTTTTTACAATCATTTGTATTCTGTTTAAACATTCAACTGTCTTTTCTCTTTGACTAGTATAACATCCTAATACTTAAACAGCATACTCTTACTTCAAAACATATTGTAACTCTTCCCAAAAGACATTCTCTCTATTTATTAGCTTTCCAGATAACTGCTGCTGATGATCTCCTGTTCATTTTGGGGATTGGAAAAACAAGTTTAAATCTTAAATTAAAGTTAAAAAAAAGCTTTTCACTTTTAAAGTTGTTTTTCATACATAGTGCTCAAGACAAAGAGCAGTACCTACAGCCGGGTTTTTAAAACACGTTATATTTCTAACTAGCTAGCCATGCTTTTAAGCCTTTTTACACTCATTGTGGAACCCAAAGAAATAATTGTCAAAAAAGTCTGATGTGATACCTTAAAAATGAAAAACTGTAAATGACATGGGGCACACTGACCTTTATTTTAACTAGAAAATAGTAAAGTCCATTATTTGTTCACATGGGATAAAAAGGATCTGTGTTGGCTACAAGTGTGTCTGCACTCCTTCTGTAAAAATGTATTTCAAATAAGTATAATAAATTAATATACATAATGATTATACATTTATATTTGTGCTTAAGTTACAGGTTGCTTATACAACCCAAACAACATGAATTCTGCTGTAGACATTGATCCTCTATTACACTACTTAAATAGGGGCAGTTGAGCTGATTATTTTGAATCTATCAACAACAACAACAAAAACATGTGATTACATTTATCTTTTGTATTATCTGCCCGGCTGTCTCAACATTTGTATTGTATTTCTTATTAAGAAACAAATGTGTGGTTACTGTGTAATGACTTTGCTAACATGTTGTGTTACAGCTTCTGCAAACATTTGGTACAGGGCCATGAACAAATGAACATGTGGCAAATAAACCCAGCATGTCTAATGTCTGTATGAAGAGTAGGCTGATTGGCAAAGTTGTTGTTTTTTTAACCTTTTTGAAAAAAAAGTGCGAGACCATGAAAGTGACCGGAAGGAGAGGAGGAGGGTTTGGAAAGAGGTATATCTAGCTCTTTGTGTGTGTGTGTGTGTGTGTGTGTGTGTGTGTGTGTGTGTGTGTGTGTGTGTGCGTGCGTGCGTGTGCGTGCGTGCGTGTGCGTGCGTGCGTGCGTGCGTGCGTGCGTGCGTGCGTGCGTGCGCGTGCGTGCGTGCGTGCGTGCGTGCGTGCGTGCGTGCGTGGTCAGCTTTGTTGCTGACACCCATATTCACATTCACACAAACACAGAGCTGTGTAATGAAATCATTGAGATGAGAATAATCATTACCAGCATCTCCATTATTGGGCACTGAACCAATCAGAGGTGATGATAAATTAATTATACAGTTTACTGCAGCAGCAAGGACAGACTTAATATTAATGGTATGTTTTATTCATAGCACCTTTCAAAGAAGTGCAGTTTGACTGAGTAGTGGACCTTAGGAACAGAGTAACGAGGGTGTTGACACCACAGAAGTTCTGTCATAATTGTGTGTGGCAAATGAAAAGCATGATCGTTTTTCATGATGACGAAGAGATGATGACGGGTTAAACATAGATTGTTTATGATAGAAACTCTGATGACACGGACGGGACAAAACAGTTATTGGTGGGCTGTCAGTCTTTCAAAATCAATGATATTTTCATCAAAAAGCATATTAATTATCTATTATCTCCATCAAAAAACAAACAGAGAGAGGAGAATAGCCTGTGCACTGCCAGTCAGAGAGCAGGAGGAGCTCATGTCAGTGTGTGGAATACAGAGAGAACAGCTGACGTTATTAGTCCTATAACAATGTATTAGCATTTACGAGCTAACGATAGCTTAACAAAGCAGAGATTGACTAAGGTCTGTACGGTTTCAAAACAGACTTTTTTTTTTTTTATTGCAGGAATTTATTCATAGTTCTAGGAACTGTTGGAACCCTCCCTCCCTTAATTAGATGTTTTCGGACCAAACAGTTCTGAGGAATTTTTGAAGAGGAACTATCCACTAGGGAGTTCAATACCACATGGGACTTTTTTTTCTGTCTGCATTCGCATCACCATAGTGCTGGGAGAGTGCTTACTCCGAAGCATGAGCTAAAATGGTTCCTCTAGAGTTCATAGTTCCTGCGGTGTGGAATTAATAAAAAAGGGGGAAGGGTTCCAACAGTCCTAGAACTATGAAAAAGTTCCTGTGGTCACTGCAGGATCTATGAATTATTTCACTTCCTAGAACCCCGTTCAGAGAAACCTCTTTAGCTCATGCTTCAGAGTAGGTACTCTCCCAACACATGGGGGACTTTAAGTGATGTAAGCGCATGGTTTTTATGACAATAATATTATGTTTAATATTAATATGACATGTTTAGATTTTTATATAATATCTCCCTAGTGGATAGACTCTTCAAAAAACTAAAGAACGGATTGACGACTGACAGTATTAAAAATGATGTCACCAAACTGTGGAAGTACTCCATTAAAGTGTGTCAGTATTTTCATCAGTTTGAAGTTAAATTAATTAAAGAAGTGATAGTGAAGTAATATATTCTTAATATTGATAATAACTTTTTTTATATATGGCTTTTTCTTTAAGTTACAAAGTGCTTAACAGTAGAAACAACAAAAAACAAGTAAAAACAAAAACACAAATTGACGAATAATAAAAGAATTATAAGCCAATGGAAAACAAATTTGAAATGAAAAGAAGATACCTGTGCCCAGTCA